TTTAATGTTATATCATCTTTGAATAATTATCTATTCTTTTTAGTGACACAAGAATGTATTGAACATTTGGTTCTTTATAGTTTATATCCTTGACAATAAGTTTGATTCATTTCAAATATTATATACTTATTTTTAATTAATAAATTGAAAAGTATAAAAAATTTGAATAAAAATTAATGATTGAATTAAAATTTATTAAAATTTTAAATCTAATATAGAATTTACTTAATATTTAATTAAAAATTATTAGATTTTTTTAAAATTTTGATTAAAATTATATTAGAATTCAATTAGGATTTTTTAAGATTTACTTAAAATTCAGTTAAAATTTGGTTATGATTTATTAAGAATAAAATTAATATTTTGGTTAGGATTTATTTAAATTTTAATTTAAATATTTTAAATATTTAATTAAAACTTGATTAAAATTTTATTAGAATTTAATTATTGTTCAATTAATATTTACTTAATATCTTTATAGAATTGGATAGACTTTGGTTTGATTCTTTTAAATTTCTTTAAGTTTCTTATTATATTTTTATGAATTATTTAGGACTTTATGATATTTTTTTAAGATTATTTTAGAGAGTCTAATAGTTTTTTAGGATTTAATTATATTTTTTTTTATTTGAATCTGATTTAAGTAAAATAAGATTTTTTAAGGTTGTTTAAGATTGCAAAGAACTCCAAATTTATAAAAAAAAATTCCAAAGAATTCCAAATTTTAGCAAAAAGCTTTATTTTAGATTTTTTTCTATGTATGTATAATTTTTATTTTTTATTTTTTATTTTTTCTTCAATAAATTTATTGTGAGTAATTAACTGCTGTGAATCTATAAGAAGATTAAAGATCTAAATTCTTACTTAAGAAAAAGAAAAAACACATTAGTCTCTTTTAAAGCTCTAGAAACGACAAAGTGAGCAATTTTAAGATTAAAAGTATTAGATAAACAATATATAATTTAACATTAAAGTTGTATTTTTTGAGGTAAAACTTATATATATATATATATATATATATATGCAAGTAAGACACCAAGTTGCATATATAAGAATATGTATAGTAAAATATTTCTTATTTTGAACATACTTGAATACTTGTATATAAAATTTATTATTGAATATATATTTCCGTGGCTAAAGCTAAAAAATAGAGAGTTATTTTGTAATACAAGGAATTTTTAAAATTTTAATATACACCTAAGTTAAAATAAATATTTTATTACATCAACTTAGTTAACAAACTCAATTTTAAAAATTGCAATGCGATAAGTTCAACCTTTACATGACAGATTGATCAATAATAAAAACTCAACAAATTTTAAATTTACTAATGATCAAAATGGAATAAAAACTAAAATAAATGAATTCAAAAAATAAAAAATAAAAATAAAAAATCATTCATAATTTTTTTTAACCATTTTAAAATATTAAAATAAAATCTATAAAAATCAAAGTGAATAATTTTAAATAAATACAAAGAATATTTAGAAAATTCAATAAAATAGATATTTGGTTTTTTTTATTATTCAAAAAAATTTATAGAATTATACATATTCTTTAAGCACCTTCCATATTTGAAGCTACAAAAAAATCTCATAAAACAAGTTCTAAAGAAGTTTTGATTTAAAACATAATGTTATTAGGAAATTATGTTAGTTTGATGTGCATATAAATACATTATGTTTATTGGTTACATATAAATTCCTAATAAAAAATAAAAAAGTAATTTTTTTCTTAAACTTAAGTTTTTTTAAAACAAAAAGATATATTGTTATTCTTGAATTAAGTTCATAAAGAAATATTAAGTTAATACAAGGACATTCAATTTTACAAGTTAAAGATGTCAACTTTTAAATTCTATATATAATACTATTTTTTAATACTCAATTTTATGTATAGTTTTAATTTATAAGATTATCATAAAAATTATATATGATTTAAAAATAATTATTAAATAATATATTATTTACTTAAAAAAATATTACTTCTTAGTCTTTTTTTTCTATAATTTTTTATTATAAATTAACAAAACAAACTAAGAAAAAAATCAGATTAAATTAATTACTTAATAGTATTTTATAAAATTTAAGGTGTATTGAATGTCTTGTAATTTTAGTTGTTGTCTTATACCATTTAAAATTCTCTAGAAATAACTAAATCATTCTATAATAGGTTCCAAATGGTGGTTAAATTTAATTTTTAATGATCAATTGCAAAATGATAAGAATATTGTTTGTGTAAAAATTTACATTATTTGTTTGAAATGCATCTTCTTAATATGTACATTGAATTAAAATGTTATTAAAAACATTTCTAGTAATATATTATATAAATGACCACAAAAATATTTATTGTAATTTTTAAAATAATTTGGTTAAAAAATATAATTTTTTTTTATATTTTTGTATATTTTTTAAATTTACATTAAGAATATATTCGAAATTATAAGATGTTAAAAAAATTAATTTAATCAAAATAATTTCAATATAATATGATTAGTTAGGCTCTTAAAAACATTAAACACTACTACTTCTATTAGAAAATAATTATCAATAATACTTTCAACATGAAAATTAAAATTTCTATAAATTTTATATAAATTAGTCCATTTTTATTGTTTATGAAATTTTTGTAATGATTATTGTAACTTCAATTGAAAAGTAAATGAAACAAAGACTTAAAGATCTCACAACACAAACTCTAATCATATTATTTTTATGTCCAAAAAAATGAATTAGGACATTTATAAGAAAATGTTGAGTAAGAATTAAGTCACACAGCTCTATTGTAGGAGCATAAATTCCTGCAAGATTATCAACAAATGTAGGAGTCTTTCTGTAGAGAGTGGTAATCACAGAAATAACTAAAACGTTCATGGAAAAGACGGAATTAGAAAATTATTTCATTTATCCGTTTGGAAAGAGTTTTCTTATTTGATTGCTCACGTTATCAAAAGTTCACAGGTTGATTACCAATGTTGCAGAATTTAGTTACATCTATTCTTTCAACATCTGAGTTAGGGATACCAGCAGCAAGATTGAGCTGAATATATATATATATATATATATAGACATATATGTTCCGACTTGTGGGTTGGCAAGGTACAGCTAAACAGAGTGCTGAATTTATCACTACAGTAGGTCCCAGTGTTTTTGGAGGAATGTTAGAGTCGGCGTGTTCGAGAGCCTTATTAAGCTTTTATCTAGACTATTACAAAAGTACTTTTTCAAGCAGCTTTACTGTTAACATTACCAACTATGTAGTTTCATTCTTATTGATTGGTTAAAGAAGTGCACATTTCTACCAGCTCCTATTTTGCATTTCGTGGTTGCGATCATTGTGACAGCAGGTGAAGCAAATGGTACTATCGGTAACAGTATTGTTCCGTTTTTTCATGTTTTGATACATCGTATTCAGCTGGGTCGCAGCCTTTCCCTACTACTTGGGTGGGTTCCCTCACTCAGTTAACACACTAACTGGTGCTTAGGCTCATCCGTAGCAAACTGATTTGTGCACAATGTTGAAGGTGGTCCTGGACGATCTACTTGTGCATTGATTGCCAACTCAAGACCTATTGAAATCACAACAGCAACATAAACTTCGAAATATCCTTGACTCAGTCCAAAATCTCAGAACAGAGTTATCTCTCATCAGCACAAGGGTCATACTCTATCAGGAATCTGAATGACCGTTGAGATTTCTTCCAAAGCAAGACAATACTATGGACTTCCCACTGTGTGATGGCATGATAAACTTAAGCATTTGCGTTTATAAGGAAGCACAGATACTTGATTTGAAGTAGCTCGAGAAGAGAAAAAACTAGCACCTGCGAGGAGGGCGGAGGAATTCCTTCAGAGAATGTATCTAGCTGCAAAGCCAAAGCTCCAGAAGCTCTCTCTGAAGACTTTTGCTTCATCCGCTTCAAAGGTCTTGTGTCTCCAGTGTTTCCTTTGTTTATGCTAAGTTGTGTGGCACGCTTAACCTGACGGTTCAATTTGGAGTAAAATTATGGTCAGTGTACTGGATTGCTAGTCAGCCGAACGTTACAAGCGAGCACAACGAGATGACCTGCTGGGAGTTTCTTTTGTAATGACTTTGTCGATCCTGTTGACTGAGCGATAAATTCACAAACGTCCTTTGTGATGTTTTACTTTGTTTTAGTTGGATTCATTCTTGCTCTCATTGCACTATCGGTTTGTTCGAGGTATCTTATTCTTTGTTAATCCTAGATATTGTCCTACATATTGTGATCTGTATGTGGGAGTCTAAAGCTGATAGTAACCTTTGGTTGTATAAATCAAAAAATTAAACTTAAAACAAATTAAATATATGTCGATAAGATTTGGTTTTAGATACTTCTGAATGAATGCCATATGTTACCGCCTCAACGAGCCTACTGGTTTCACTTTCATTGTTTTTTATTTTTATTTTTTATTATTTTATTATTTCTTAGTGTCAATATAACAATGTGGGTACTAAAAACAATTTACCTTTAACATTAGTATGAAGTTAAAAAACTTAATGAGATTAGTCAAAAGTCGTGTTATAATCTATTATACCTTCAAGTAAAAATTTGAATAACTTATGGTTTGTGTTTGGGATTTTTTAGTAGCTACATGCATATGATTTACATCACATCTCGTAATAGTTTTACGATACATTGATATAATGAGTACATTTTTAGGATATACCAACTCTCATGATGTCAAGGTACTATTACCGTGTTGACTTATATTCTCCTCTATAGGTTGAAACTGATAACATCAATGTTTGATTACTAAAATTAATTAAGCTCTCCGATTTGTCAGCATGCTCAACTGTTACACAATCTAACATTTCGTCTTCTCTCCACAACAGCATGCATAAGGTCATAGGTAAATTTACAACACTCGGTCCTGTATGACATGCGCAGACCCATATTTCAAATTGACATTTCTTTAACATTAGAAGAGTCCATACATTTATTTTCACTGCCATTTAGTTGGACACCTTTGACATAGGCTGAAAGGCACTATAGTTAAGCAAGGAATGGTTAACCATTAACCCAATCCCCGCAATACATTCGCGAGCGGTAGAATAGGACAAAATCAGCTCCACTAAGAAAGATGAAACGAGAACGAAATTGAGTCACGTAATCAGATAGATAATTCTAAATTGAATACGTGCTGAGCACATAAAAGGCCGGAGATAATGCAAGTTACATCGAACCCAAGCATTATCTGAATTATCAAGTCATAATCACTCAAAACGAGTATATACTATCTGGATAAGATTCCGCAGTAAAATTCTTTCCGTCACATGCACCTGAGAATTCAGCTGAAAAGCATGTGGTCATAACAAATATAGCCGTCAAAATTGTAGCACTAGGCAGTGATCTAGAAAAATTGAACGTTCCAGCTGCAACGCAGCAAGAGACCTCCGCTGCCCGCACAATCCAATCGGATGCGCCATTTATAGCATCTGAATACGTCACGAGGCACACGGAACTCCACTGGCTTCTCAAGATTATAATGTTAGCGGGTAATTTGGGCTGTCAACTGTGCATATCAGCATATTCAAGAGGTCGGCCGTGAAAGCCAAACGATCAGTCATTCAAGCATGCATTTGAACAAGAGAAATGACACATCGGCAGACGATTGGAACAGAGTCAGAGTCATTGTCATAATTAGAGGGTCGCTTGCAGGTATCAAGCACCCTTCTTGAGTGAATTAGTCAGACCATGCTAAGCATAGCCAAAGGTTAGCAACTGAGGAGACATAGATATAAAGCTTAACTCCCCAGAAAAGACTCCTTATGACTTTATAACTAATGTAAGGCTAGGACGGACAGTAGTGACAGCTGACCAATCAAAAATTATCTGATGGATACAACCACGGGTGGGACAACACGACTGGCTGCATCCTATGGTGCTGGATGCGTCAATAGGGCTGAGTGCAACCGTTCCACGACTTGCACACAGCAGGACTCTACACGAATGTGGGACGACACAAACGTGGGGATGTTGTTGCAGCAGCTGCTGCAAAAGATTATGGGTTTCAAATCAGAAACCCAGACCCAGCAAAGTAGTCAGGTCTGAACAGTGTGTGCACCAGACGCCCAGAACTTTGCACAGATTAGTTCTGTTAGAGAGTGGTTGATCCCACAACCAAGTTATTCACGAACCACCTTTAGGGGGAGGCAGTGAGACTCAGGACCAGACACTTTCCTACAAGTAACCAATATTCAAGGTCGCAGCTAGAAAAGCATCATGGGAGATGCCTTTCTGAGCACAGCGCCTCTCCTCAAAAGTAGTTTGAGGCATTAAGAGATTTCTCCAGAAGCCTCGTTCCTGCATAAGGGTAATAAATGCCAAATTTAGCAGAGAGCTAGATTGACAGCCAGTGAACACTGCCATACTTCTCCCTTTCACGAATCTTCTAATTTCAGAATTCAGTTATCAATAAAAAAAAACAAAAAAAAAAACAAAAAAACAAAAAAACAAAAAAAAACAAACAAACAAACAAACAAACAAAGGCGCTACCCACACGTAATCCAGAAAGAGCAGAGAGTGACACAATGATCAAGTGTACCTTTCAGCCAAAGTTGAATCCACCAGGAGGAGCTCCTGCGACATTACTTGAACCGAACGCGAAGCTTTGACCATCTGTACCAGGTGCAGTATTCTGCTCCTCATCCTCTTCTAACCAGTACGTCTCCAAGATCTTTACAGCCTTCTCGTAAATTTCATTGTTATCGTGAGTTTGGAGGTTCTCAATCTTCTCTAAGCCCTCGGCTTCATCAATATAGCGAGCATATTCGTTGATCCCACCAGTTTTTCCAAGATCTTTCTCCTGCTCTCCGACCTTCAAGATATTCTCCAGACCTTCAAGGGAGACGGTTACAATTCTCGGATCTGGGCAGGTCAATAAGTCGCAAAGTGGTTTAATACAACCCTGGTTGACGAGGTATTTGATTTGATCGTGCGTTCCACCGGATGTGGCATTCGAAATAGCCCAAGCTGCTTCTTTCTTGATGTCAAACTCAGCAGTGGCGAGCAAAGATACAAGCGGTGGAATAATGTTCGCGTCAATCACGGCCTGTAGTAGACAACCGAAAACGATTATAGTACATCAATTAAAAGTATGACTACACAGTGCAGTGAACAGGAGTGGAAAATAAAAGCAATCTCCAATCAACAGGGATTGAATAAGGAGAGTGGAAATTAATACCTGAATCTGATCCTTGTTTCCTGCGGTTATGTTCGAAATAGTCCAACAAGCTTCTTTCTTAATGCTTTTCTTGTGATTGTTGGTCAGGAGAGCCAGGAGACAAGGAAGGGCCTGGTTGTTGATGATGAACTGGGTCTGAAGGTCGTCACCAGTAACGATGTTGCCCACGGTGCGCAGTGCAGGAATTAGCACGGACGGTGATGGATGGCTGCTAAGAGTCAGCACAGCGGAATAAGTTATCCACAAACCTTCCTTGGATAAGTTCAGATACCACGAAAATGAGTAGCAAAATGAATAAGAACAGGGGCAAGTATAAGCGCATTACAGCAGTAGCTCCACGAGACGTCGGCAAACACCAGCTTCAATCACAGCCTGTATCTTGTCGTTTGTTCCATCGGACAAATAAGATAGGGCCCAGCATGCATCTGTAAGGACTTCTTCATCATTTGAATGAATGAGTCGCTCCAAAGCTGGGAGTGCAGGCTTGGACTGCAAGAATTTAAAATAAAAATATGAATCATCGACTTCATGGCAGCGTACTAGAAGAAACAAATCAGCCTTCACAAGATACGTCTCAGATGAATAAGCATAGATAATCAAAAAATTGGAGAAAGTTGATATGAGACCATCTAGAAATCACGAGGCGTACAAACCTGCTCGAAAGGTGGCTGAGGCTTGCCACGACAAAAGTTGGATAGGGTCCACGTTGCATTCCGCAGCATTGACAACTTCGTGTTGTCAGTAAGCTGAGCAAGCAGAGGCATCAAAGCGCCATGGTTAAGAACAAGATCTCTGCACTTTGGAGAGTCACCCGCTACATTCCCTAATGCCCATACAGCCTGCAAAAACAAGGTGACACGGGTTCTCAGTAAGAAGACAGTCATTATTGAAGAAACTCAGGAGTGAATAGCACTTAGTATCATTACCTTCATTACATCACATCAAGCTGGTCAGGGGATATGCAGATGGTGAATCCAAATCCTGAATATCTCTACTACGAACCTCTCATATAAACAAAGTGTTTCACTCCCATCAGGTTCCACCCTGGAAATTAATTACTTGTTCTCCACCAGGAGACAAGGAAGCGTGTTTTTAGAAATGCCAGGAAATAAATGACATTGGAACTCAAAGATTTGTTGATCCAAATCCCATATGCAACATGATCTTGAGGTGCATTAACCCTAACATCCTGAGTTATCAAGGCCTGTATCAGTATAACATACCTGCTCTCGAACGTCATCGCTCGGAGAACTCAGGAGCTGAACGAAAATTGGCACAGCTCCGTGATCAATAACCACCCGGGTGTGATCAGAAGTTCCGGAAGCAATATTTGTCAACGCCCAGGCAGCTTCGAACTGCATGCGATACACACAGTGAGATACTCGTTCTGCCCCCACAGGATCGTGATGTACTCGATTGTACAATAGAGATTAAACACAGTTCACAGTAGGGAAAATCCGAGTGAGCACCTGCAACTGTGGGAAGTCATTCCTGACTAGAAACTCGACAAACCGAGGTACAACACCTGCTGCGATAACCTCTTCGATTGGTGGACTGCGCTCTGCAATTCAAAAACGTGAGATCACTCACATCAGATGTGGAATTGAAGTTAAGAGTAGCAGGTGACAACCAGAAAAACCATATGCATGGTTCCAAGGTCAACAACAGTTATGAGAATAAGTAGACATCATACCAATAGAGAGAAGCTTTCTGAATTGGGTGGTTGATTCCAACTGCGTTGCGGGGTCGTCAGAGTAAACTCCAGCAACCATGGCAGGGAGGCTTTCCAGTTGCTACGAGAAACAAAATCCACGAATTACATTCGAGCGACTACCCCGTCAAAGGATCAAAACGAAACAGTATATCACAAAGTCCATGGTCTTGGTCGAAACCTTTCTTTGATCATACCGTTACAGCCTACTTGCAAAACCCTTGGATAACAGAGAGATCTAAGACGATCCAGACAGAAAAATAAATAAAAACTAAAGCATGCGAAATGATCAAGTCGACAAAGGAATGCGCATCAAGAGTTCACAAAAAAGCCAAGAGATTCATTCCGGAATTCCCGCCGCAAAAACCCAAATCCAGCCAACTCCGACCACACACCTTCTTCTCGGCAGCGCCAGTCTGCGCGGCGGGCATGAACTGCTGCTGCAGTTTAACCATACCATCTCTACGCTTCTTCAGAAGACTCTCCTCTCTCTTGCTCTTCCGAATCTCCACCATGTTGTCCTCTCTCTTTCTACGTGCTTCATCGGCATCGATTGCCAGCTTGAAACCCTTCTTGCGGACCTCAACACGGGCGTTGGGACGGAGAGACATCCTGATACAACCTTAAGGACAAGCGCCACAACGAAACGCACTCGAAATTCGTCTAACCCGAAGAAGAAAACCCAAAACACACACACACGGAGTGAAATGAGAGCGATACGGAAAGAGAAAGGCCTAGAGTGGGATCAAAAGAACGGCAACAGGGAAAGAGGATTGTAAACCGCTAAGAAGAAAAGGGAGTGAGTGAGTATCTCCAAAAAGAGGATAACACAGAAAGATGAGACGAAGACAGAGGGAGAGAGAGGGGAGGAGGGGGAGGAGAAGAGGGGAGAGCAGGGGGAGCAGGGCCGAGAGAGAGAGAGCGCTGAGAAGCTTTGGGGATGCCGTCGAGCGTGGGCACCCATTTCAGACTCTAGCCGAGTGGCCGAGGGGGCGGGCGGAGAGGTGATACCCGTACACCGACCATGCCCGGGGGGGGGTGCATAGACCTCCTACGCCAGGGGCGGGCCCACCACCCGGTCAAATATTTCAAATTCGTACTATTCCTTGAACTGCCAGGTGTGGTGCTGCTTCGTTCCCCGTCCCCGTCCAGCCCCGTTCCATCCCCCTGTCCTCGCCATCCCAGCTCGCCTCCTACTCATTCATCCCCATGCTCTTCATCCAAATTTTCATTCGTTCGTTCGTTTGTTAGTTTGTTTATTCTTCCTTCCATCCCCTGGCTCCGTTCTCTTGCTTGCATTGCACTGTGTAGCTCTCCCTGTGTTTTCACTGCATCCCAGCGTCCCACTGCAGTTTGTTTGATGCTGCAGGTCGTTCGCCTGCGGGCGCTTCCATCGCTATTCTCTGGTGCCGTTGCTTTAACCTCTGCTGCTGGCTTTCTCTTGTCGTGTTCTTCCCAATCTCAGCTGTATTTTTTGCTTCTTCTTCTTCTGCTTCTATTGCTGCTTCTTCTTCTTCGCCTTCGTCTTCGTTTCATGTGAGTTTTTCATTTGCAGTAATGAAGCCATGCTGCCAGCTTCAATTTCCACGATGCGCGGGATTCCTTTCGCATGTCAAGCGTAAACTGTGTTCGAGTTTAGGAGTTTTGTTTAGTGTATATCAGTTGCTTTTTTCTGAGTTGAAGTTGCTTTGATCCGTTTTTGTGTGAAGTATACTTGTTTATTGTTTAATGATGATGTTATTTGTTGTTCAAAAGTTTTTGCTCTGTCTCTCTCTCTCCAGCGCTTGATGCAGCTATACATTGAATGAAATAATGAGAAAAAAGAATAATAATCATACTCATATCAATCATCGTCAACTGTATAATTTCAATTGCGCGTTGAAGTATGATGATAGAAAAAGTATTTTTTTCTAAACTTTTCAGGATTCAAAATATTATGAACTTTATTGACAGAAGTTCTAATGGTTTACAAGAAGTAAAGAGTGAAATATGGCACGTTTTGTAATTCAGATATGCTATTAAAGCAATAGATTTAATAATTTATTATTTATATTAGAATGTCTCTTTTCCTTTGATCAGTAAGAACATTCAGAAAATTGGAAGGAAAATTTTGTAGTGGTCATTTTTTAGCAGAATAAGTAGCATTGTTATGATATCCTTCTCTTTTGGAGTTCTGAATAGACTCAACGAATTCAATCTTTCTAGTTGTTTGTAAATGTGTAATGGATCACTGCAATTATGATTTGATACAAGTAATAATAATAACAACATGACAATTATCAAAATTTGATTTAAGTAGCTAATTAGAATTTGAATGACATCAATAACAATAATATTTATTGTATTAATGTGAGTATATACTATGCATTATATCTTTTAAAAAATCTGTAGGATTACTAATTTCAGTAACAAGAACTATAATAATAATAATAATAATAATAATAATTTTGTTTATTTGGCATAAATATAAATATATTTTTTTTAATTTCAATGCTAAATTAACAAGAGTGAGCACACTATCAAAATCAGAGAGAGTAATGGTGATAAAGGAAGACTAATTCTTGAAAGCATGTGAGTTTGACTACAGTATTAGCTTGTCTGGAAACATCTTGAATTGCTCGCATTTTAGTGTGTCATGCTAGAGAACAATTTTTAGAAGCATCTTAGGTACTACTGAACTTTTAAAATATAATATTAAACTGTATATAAGATAGTCAACAGGAAGAGACATGCAATAAATACTTAATAAATAAGTAAATAAATAAGCCTCCAAGAAAATCTGAACTTATATTTCTTCCTTTACAGTGGTATTATTAGTTTTTGAAGTTTAATTTGTCAGGTAATACAACCATTATAAGTTCTAATTTAACCAATCAGTTTTTGAACTATATATATTTATATATATACATATATATTTATTTATTTATTTATATAGAGAGAAAGATGTGTGTTGTAAAACATATTAACAAAAATAAAATTGAATCCATAAACTGTGATAGGTGAGTTCAGTAAATAAAATCATCTGTACACTAATTTGATAAAATTAAAGTTTTACTTAAATCCTTTAATTTCTTTGAAGGATTCAACTATGTAAAAATAAGAAATAGTTTGAAACTAGAAATTTAAAAGCTTTTATGTATACCTTAAAATATTTTTACAATTTTAGTACACAAATACCAAACTAATTGATTCTTTATTTAAGCAAAGTCATGGAAAACTAATGACAGTTCAAAAAGCTTAAGCAGTTGGTTACCATTTAGAGTTTTTGAAGGTATTGTAATGAAAAGCAGAAACACAACATATATATATTTTCATAGAATCACTATTGTTTTTTTATAATATGATTAATTTTTTAAAAAAAACTTTATAAAAGCAATATTTTAATTTTGTAAATTCACAATAACTATTTTGTCTATGTTGATTCTAAAAACTAAAAACCAAAGTAAGACATATGATGTAAATTACAAAACACATATCATTATTGTAGATTAATTATCACTTCACAAAGAATGACAAGCCAAGGAGTTTTTCTGCCTAACTGTTCAAACCTAGTTGATAGTAACAAAGTCAACTAATAGAAAAAAAGCTGAATGGATAGAAAAACCAAACTAAACCACATACTTTTGATGGGATTTGGCACACAATATCACATCATATGACAAAAAGAAAAAGAAATACATTTGGTTTCTATCATTCTAAATAATCTGAATTTAAATTTTGCCATTAGAGAAATTTGAATTTGAATTTAAAACAATTTTAATGCAAAGCCCATGATAAAATAATGGTGTTGTAGAGAATTTTTTTTACCATTATACCAGATATATATATTCAGACACAATGTAGTTATTATAAACGTGTTATTTAGTATATTATATGTAATTGTTAAAAATAGACAATGAACCATAAAAAAGTACAAGCATTCTAGAAAATCATAAAAGAAATGCATTGTATCACTTCAATCTTATTTTTAATTATAAAATTATCATAATTCAGAGTTTCATTATTAGCATTGTTTCTATCATTAAATTTCCATAAACTAATTTTCAGAAAATAATCCATGTTTTTTTTTTTTTTTTCATTAGAAAATCTACAACAAGGAATTTTTTTCGCCTTCACCTGAGTATATGTGAAAAAAAAAAAAAAATATATATATATATATATATATATATATATACATTTCATCACATTAGTTTTTTTTCAAAAAGAAAAAAAGTTATGAAATAAAAAAAACTAGTGCTAAATCAAACGTTGTTTGAAGGATTTCTTCCATGAGTGATATTGGAAGGAACTCCTCAGATCTACAAAGCAAGGAGTGCATGACACGCCGCAGCCCAAATAACTTTTCATTATAATAAAAAAGCAGTTTGAAAGTATTCATTCCCCACAAACAAAACAATTCTCCCAATTGTTTAGGACTCTCTGATTTTTAATTAAAAAAGTAAAAAGTAGAAAGTAAGAAGAAAAAGGATAAGCCCACCTCCAGCACCACCCGGCCCATCATCCATCCATCCCCCATGCTTTTCATCCCAACCAGCTGCTGCCAGCTGTGAACCGCCCGCCATGCAAGCAACGAATGCTCTTTCATCCATACCCGTCAAAAAATTTACATTAGTTCATTCACCCACTCATTCATCCATCCATCCGTTTGTTTTTTTGGGGGGTGGGTGGGAGTTGTGGCTGGTGTTCCTTCCAGCCCAGAGAGGCTCCTCATGTGAGGCCCGTATTGCGAGTGTCAGAGAGTGTGTGTCAGTGTGTGTGTGTGTGTGTGTGTGTTTGTGTGTGTCAGTGTGTCTGAGTGGTCATTTGTTTGTTTGTTTGGTTCCAATGATGAGTACAGAGCCTCATTTCAAATTCACACTGACATGCATTGCCAATGGGGACAAGGCATTGAAGCCACACATCCCCACATACCCACACACTCACTCACACACCCACCCACACAAAATAGTCCTTGCCAGTAGGCCAGGATAAATTTATACGTACATCTCTATCTATCTATCTATCTATCTGTCTATCCATCTATCGGTATATATGTATTTATGTATAAACGTAATAAAATGATTATACATTGGGATGGATGGGGTTATTATAATGCTTGGATTCATGGATGCATTTCATGGATGAACCTACTCGCTGGATTCCATTTGCCTTGATGAGCTCCACCCGATGAAGCTCGGAACCAGTCAAAAGACATCCTGCTCCGATTCTTGACACGTGGACGAGAGGATTGAACAGGCGTCGAGGGTCTAGAAAGGGTTGGGGGACCAAGTCCTGTTGGGGGGGGGGTGTCTCGATTGCCAACTCAGCACACGCGGTCCTCTCTCTCTTCCTTCCGACCCCTGTCAGATCCTCGCTGGCGGGGTCCTCTTTGCCACCTGGACCCCCCCACTTTGATAATGTCAACGTGGTGGTTGTATATTTCCAACTTCTTAATTAATTGTAAATATTAGAGGCAAATATTAGTTTCATCACATGCTTTGTTCAAACCTCATATTTTGACTTAGTTTCTTCCAAGTTGAATACTTCTTTCTCATTATCTAGAGTTCAATTCTCCCCCTTTTTTTGTTTGGATGTTAGTATCATTATTATTATTATTCTTATTTGAATCGTTCTTATGCATTGTTTTAGAACAATAGTGCTTGATTTGAGATTTGCTGATGCATAGAACAAGTTCTTTTTGAAAAACGTTTAATTCACTTTACATTGATTTGTTTCAGAAAATTGTGAATACAAGTCACATTATTATTATTTTTTTACTGAAATAGGAAAACTGTATTTATTTTTAAAATGGTCGATGGATTACATATTTATTTATTTATTTATTGAAGTTAAATTTGACGCCTCACAAGAATCTAAAAATATGTTTGAAAAACAATGGTTTGGTCACAAAACTACAAAAGAAATCCTACTAATCAGATATTGAAATTTTGCTAACTTAAAAAACAATCTACAATACAATATAGAATCCACTTTGAAAACGTTTCTCTAATAGTGCTCCACATTGGAATTTAGAAAAGAAAAATTGGTCAGAAATTGGTAAAAATCAACTCAAATAAATTGTGGGTTATATATCTATATTTTTTGATATAGAGATATTACACTGAACATTAAAAAAAAAGGCTGCAAAGTTCGAAACAAAGATATAAAAATGCAAATATAATCACATATACTTAGAGCATAAAAACCAACATTATTTTAAAAAATAACTGAGCTGACTAACACAAGAAAAAATAGGCAATATTGCATAGTAATATTTAAGTGGTGACATGTGATGAAAAATAGTGATGGATTTATACTTGATAACATATTGTAAAAACAAATAGTTTGCAAGATATGGATGTCAAAATAAAAGGTAAAAGTATCAACTCTAAATAGATCTTAAAAAAAATTCTAGATCATATAAATATAATCTTTTAAGCATTCACAAGCTAAGAAGAATATATGATTAAATTTTCCTTAGTAAAAATATGAGACTGTCTAAACTATAAACGAAGAGATATTATACACAAAGAGATTAATTAAGACTTAGACAAGATCTCTTATAAAATAGCAAGAGACCAATATAGATTAAAAAATAATATTAGTAGAGTTAGAAGCATATACATGCAAAATACTAAAATAAGATTGCAATAAGCATACAATCTATAAAAGAGATGTAGGTTGATTAGGTATAAGACTATAGGCGGCTACAATCAAAACAATTAGTGCATTGTTTGGCCTCTGAAGGAAGAACAAAGGAAAGTGAGCTACAATGACTTGTTTAATTATCAAGTTAGTATTGTTGATGTGCACCAATATATATATATATATATATATATATTTTTGAAAGTATAATTCATAAAATTAATTAAGTATATATGCATAAGTATACATAATATTAGTTAAGTATATTTGTTATAAAATTTAAGAGGAAAGAGGTCTTAATATAATAGCCATAAAAAAATAAAAGCTTTATTATCTAAATGAGTTTTAAAAATCCTTTATCTAAGTAACTTAAATATATAATAATGTATGACATATAGGCTCACAATGACAAAACCTACTACACTTAGAATATATTGGCTTGATTTTGAATGGGCTTTGTTAATAAAAATTAGAAGTGTAAGGTGAAATCAAAGAATTAGAGTAACATAAAAAAAATTTGGATTAAAATAGAAGAAAATTTTAAAATAAATACACTATTTAAATATAAATAAGTATAAAATAGAATATTATGGTGTAATTTTCCATAAATAAGAATATTAAGTCTTCACATGTAGCAATTTTATACTAAAACAAATTAAATTGAGTCAAAAATATATTTGATGCTACGAGTCTTGTATTTAAATTATGAGAGGTAGATAAATCTAAATTAAAATTTAATTTCACAACCGAAGAATTTTATAAACACTTCATTCAATTATATACAAGAAAGTTAGTAAACATAACTAAAAGAAGAATATATTCTTTTAATGTAAATAACTAGATTAGTTTATAGAGGCAACATATTAATTTAATTTTATCTTTTGACATATTTTAGGTTAAAAAAAATCTTGTGGGATCAAAATAAAATGAATAAATATATATATATATATATATATAGATAATCTAAATCCTCAATTATAAAGTTGTATTAAGTAGGAAAAATTATTAGAATACTTCATTATGATAAAAAAAAATGTATGTTTGACTAACTTAAATTTCAGCCTATATAATAATGAGAGTATTGAAAATAGAATAGAAGATATTATTAAGCTTGTGAGATTGGTTTTCAAAGCCAAAGACACGAAGAGATAAAGAAGCAAGGTTGTAACATTATATTTTAGATCTTTAGAGAAGCATCAAATCGACTTGAATATATATATATATATATATATATATGGTCTACAAACTCTTACCTTATATAAATATTGCTAAATTAGATTAAAAAAATTCAATACTCACAAGGAATAGAAACTATGTAAGTTTGAATAAAACTCAATTATGTCACTATGTTTTTTGAAAAATAGATTGATTTAGATCTAGGGTACATAAGAAAGAAATGATTATTTGTCTTCTTTAATAAAAAATTGAAATTGTTGAATAGAGAACTTAAGCCAAGAATAATACTTTATAAAATTACCTTCTTTACATGCCACATAAATTTTAAAAATCTTCTATTAACTTTGGGTGTATTTACAAGGTAATTGTATTTGCAATAAGACAAAATATTTAATGTAAAATTGACAGTTATGTCTGAAGAGTTAGAAGCTTTGAAAAGAACCTATTATAAAATGATCCATTTTTTCTTACAAATTATTTCTCAGATTCAATAGTTTCAAAATAATTTGATCTTTGCTTAATTGTGCACGTATATGAATAATATGAATTCAATAGAATAAAATTATTTTTAAAAGTGAAATTAAAATTAACATAGAAATTTCAAGGAGAATATGAAATGAATTGATAGATTGTAAAAACAATCTTTTAAAGAATTTTACTTGCAACAAAATAGAAAAACAATTAAATCATGCAAGCAACATTTTGTATAGACAAAAAACTCATGGATGGCCAAAGAAATAATAGGAATTAAAAATGATATGATTGGGTGGAATCTTAGAGTAACTCTAGATAGTCTCATTATCTATAATGAATTGAGTCATTAATTACAGGAATATTAGTTAAAATTCTATTTAATATTATTTGGGAGATAAAACCTTTACTTGTGTCCTTGTCATAGCTATAAGATATTATGATGAAACTTGTAACTTTCACATATATCAATCTTAAATATTAAATGTGTTTTTTTATTTTTCAAAAACCAAAAATAAAATAAAAGAAAAAAAGACTTAACTGAAATAAGTTTATTTTCATATTGAAAAAGATATTAATAATGATGTCATAAAATAGAAGTGAAAAATACATGGTAGAGTTATTTTAGTGTGTTAGATATATAAATAAAAAAATCATGTTTAAATTGCTTCAAATATTATAGTTTTTGATATGTTAAATTATTTTAAAGCTTGTTTAATTTTTTATTAAAAATATTTCATATATATATATATATATATATATATATATATATATAGATAGATAGATATAAAACGGAATATAGGACTTCTATTTTTATTAAAAGCATAAATTTCTAATCAATATTACTAAAAAAATTGTTAAATTTGAAATAAAATTTTCTTTTGATTTATTCTAAGATTTCAAAATAATGTGTAATTTCTTACAAAACATTGTGATTTTTTCTTTTAAGAAAATCATAAAATTTTGAATAAAAATAAATAAAAAATTATATGTGTGTATATATATATATATAGGTAATGTGAAATAAGTTTAAAAATTGTTTGTCACTTATTTATGAATTTTTAAATATATAACTAAAATTAATACTACCTTATTTTTTAAAAATATACTACTTTATAAATATATAACTAAAATTAATACTCAAATTTATAAATCAATAACATCAATAATTAAAATTTATAAACCTTGTAAATATACTAAATTTTACATATTTTTCTGAAAAAATATTTAAAAATTCATAAATAAGTGACAAACACTTTTTAAACTTATTTCACATTAAATTGTGGGTTATATATCTATATTTTTTGATATAGAGATATTACACTGAACATTAAAAAAAAGGCTGCAAAGTTCGAAACAAAGATATAAAAATGCAAATATATAATGCAAATATAAAATGCAAATATAATGCAAATTTTTAAATATTTTTTCAGAAAAATATTTAAATCCATCACTATTTTTCATCACATGTCACCACTTAAATATTACTATGCAATATTGCCTATATTTTCAAAAATCCATATTTGAATATTGAAAAAGTAGATAAAATCCATAAAATGATATTTTACATTTAATGTGTATAGAATTTTAAATGTTCTCCCTCTTTGCTCTAATTTAAGATGCTATATAATTATTCTTCAAACTAATCAAAAGCATCGTCTAAACTCCATTTTCTGCCAAAAAAAGAAAAAAGAAAAACAACGTCACAGTTTTATATAACCAACCTGCATGATGCAACCATTGGCCACATAGTTGCAATTGCAAAAAATCAATCCAAGCTGTAACTTAAAGGGAAGTCTGAATATTCATACCAATCTTGAACCATGCACCATTACGTGAACCCAATTGCAAAAAAGCAGCGGCGGTGTAACAGTGGCTACCTCTGCATGGATGGTCGATATCAATGCCGACAGCTGCAATAATCTAGAATGCAATCCCCGGTGCATGGAATCCCAAGTGGGCAATGTGCAGAAATGTGCCTTCTGTCGGTGCAGATTTGCAGCCTGCAAATTGGGTCGTACTCCTCCTGCTGGAAGCTGCTGTTGAACTCCAAGTCTGCAGAAGCGACTCGTTGATGCATCTGGTGGTCACAGTGGAACTACTGTTGAGGGTCGAGTGGCTGAAGAGAGGCCAAGGTGGACAGACTTGGAATGTGAGCAAAAGCTCTTCTTACGAGAGTGCCTCCTCCTTAAGCACGACTTTCTACTGCGAACGGAACGGGTGAAGCAATGGAGAGGTTAGAAGCATAGGACCCAGTGGATTCCACCAGTGTAGAGGCTCCTTACGTGAGTTACTGAAGTCTGGGATAAATCTTTGATAAATCACTGCTTGGCCGGTGTGTGCATTAGAATATCTTCACTCTGCAACATGGGCTCAATTTATCAAGTTGATCATCATGTTTTCGAGTAACAGTAGGATCGACACTAGCCTCATGCAGCATACGTTTCACTCGAGTGCTGCTTCAAGCGTTAGAAACGAATGCAACCATGTATTTCTCTGGTACATTAGTAAGGGTATGTGCTCTGGCCGGGAAATCATCATCAAACAGAAGTATATATTTCCTCTCCACACCAGATGGCAAGAAAGGACAAAATCTGTGTGAACTTGAATATGTACACCACTGTCGGCTGTGAAGTCTGGCAATGTATGTTCCTTAGTACAAGGTTGAACCTGATATTAGAGCAAATGCTCTTGCCCCTCACCTATTTCAATTCCTACAAACCTACCTCACGAAAAAATCCATCTAGCTGCTCGGACTTGGAAATAAGGCATTGTGAACACTACTGTACAAGTGAGAGCCCCAAAACGTCTAAACAAAATACAGATGTTCAGTTCGAAGGGAGTTCTCAATTCACTGTGACTCGGGATTATCATCTTGAAGCTCAAGCGCTGCCCATAATAAGGCCGTCGATTTTGGACCAACCATCTCCGGAGATAATTTCAGGACCTCTGTTAGCATGTTCGTAATCTTCCGCATGGATGGCCTTCGATTCTTGGATGCGAGGCACAGTTGGATAATCTTGCAGAGCGCAACCAGGTCATCGTGGTTGTACAATTTAAGAGAAGGGTCAACCATATACCACATCATCTTGGGATCGCTCAGATATTCATTTGCCCAGTCCACGAGATTTCCTGTTAGTTCACTGTGAGGAACGCCTCCACTAATGACCTCAAGCAACCGAATACCAAAGCTGTATATGTTGCTCTCAAAATCAGGACTGGCGATCCGAGCCCTCAGAATCATCATAACCAACTACCCTAGGAGCCAACCAACTGTGCTTTTGACGTTCGTTTCTGGCTAATGACATCTTCGACACTTCGAAATTCGCAACCTTCGCAGCGTAGTCATCAGTCAAGAAGATGGAATTCGAGTCCAAATCGAGGTGGCTCGCAGGTGGGACAAGCTCGTGGTGCATGTACGACAGCCCGTAAGCTGTCCCCATGATGATGCGCATGCGGGTGGCCCAGTCCAAATGCTCACTCTCCTTGTTGTGAAGATGATCACGCAGAGTTCCGTTGCTGGCATATTCGAAGACAAGAATCCGAGTGAACGGCTCTTCTTCAGAGCAGTATCCAACAAGGTTAACCAAGTAAGGATGTTTCATCCTCTCAAGCGCCTCAACTTTCCGGCGGAAAGACAACTCCTTCTGTGAGCTCCAGTTCTCCACAGAAACACGCATGCTCGTGGCAGCGATCTCTGTTCCATTGGAGAGAGTTCCTTTGTACACGATATTATCCAAAGACGAACCTATGATGTTGCTAAAGTCCTCGCAAGCCACCTCGACTTCCTCTCTTCTAAGGAGAGAAGCCTCAGTGTCAAACATGCGCTGCAGCTGCCCACTCATTCCTTGCTTCCACGGGCTCACAGCCGTGGATCGTCTCTTGTAACAGTAATAGGCGATTGTTGATATCGAAATTGCGATAACCAGAACAAGAGCTAAACCAAAACCTACAAGGTAGATCACGCCCTTGCTCAGTTTCTGAGAACTTGTTGGCGTGGGAGTGGACAACACATTGGGAGATCCTTGTAGCAGAAGCCTCCTCATAACATGACACCCAAAACCAACGCCCAACCGGCGGTCATGAATGGTGTTCATTCTCGCCCTCTGTAATACGCGACCAGATGCTCAAACCCCGAAAACGTATTAACCAACGAGTATCCCCACTGTGCCTTTGAAGCTTTCATCTTCTTCAATTTGTAAAGCCCTACTTCTTCCATAACCCTGGTCTAAACTTCGTTTTCCTGCCTCTCCACCCCTTTGACTCTCCCAGTCTCCCAAATGTTACAAAGTGGCTCCTCATGCTTCAAGACTGCATAACCTAAGTCACCCTAGCTACTTGATTCATGCCCTTGCACAGAACACAAGCGTCGCATTTCGGAGGACACCAATCGATGTTCGACTGTGGCTTCAATTACCAACGAGACCCCACCAGAACACTGAGTGCAGGGTTGGGCCCACACAAAAACAAAAAACAAAAACAAGCAAAGCTTGCGCCTCACGCACCTCCCTCCTCAATTCGCACAACTCCATGACATTCAGCGGCCCATTCTCGGAATTCCAGCTCACATCCTATATTACAAAAGCTATTCCTTGATTGCCCCCTTAACGCCCACTTGAACACATACCACGATTGCTCCTCCCTCGTTTATCTAGGCTAAGTTCTCTCGAACAATAATTACCAAGGGAAATGTAATGAAGCAGCTTCACGGATGAGCTCGGCCGGCGAATCACAAAACCCTACACAAGAGGAACACATTATCATGCGGCAGCTCAATGGACTCTCAGTGAGTTACACGAATCACCAGCCAAAAACCGCCAGTCCTGATTCTTCTATCTAGGATCGCGTATTTTCATGAATCTCCACGTAATGAGGGGAAAAAACACATAAAGTTGCAAATCTAACAACGAAACTGAAATAGACCATCTCTACACAATCACGCAATCAATCAAGTCTCCGAAAGCCAGAGGCACAGGCCTACAGCTAACGGACGCTCACTCAGCCATCATGTCACATACGGCAAATTCAAGACCCACCCAAGTCATCACACCTTCAATGATCGCGCGGATATCCTTCCTGGACGGGAAGGAGGTGGAGAAAAAGAACCTCCACCAAGAAGACGCAGCAGCTATACCCGCAGAAAAAAGAGATCCTACGGACAACGAGGGGGCACCCATGAAGTGGCGGCGAGCGCTGCGACGGTTGTTGCAGCTTGGGCATGAGTGGCAGCAGAATTGCATGGCAGCCATGCGGGACGAGGAGGGTCGTTGACGACGACAACGACGACTGAACCGAAAAGAGCGAGGACCGCGCGCAGGGAGCCATCAGCACCAAGGCCATTGGAGGGCGGCCCGTGGGACGAGGACCTCGCAAAAAAGCTGCAGATTAGACCCCTTTGGATGTGGCTATGGCGAGGAGGAGGAGCCGGGCAAGTAGCCATTTTCTACCTCGGCAGTACCTTCTCCTCCCCTCGTTCTACTCCGATCGCCTCTTCGTCCTCTGCTTGAGTGTGGATCCATCGCCATCGCCACCGCCAGACCTCCCCCTCCACACCTCCTTCTCCTCCTCCCCTCGCCATTTCGCCTCGTTGGCTCCGCGCATCGTTGCGAGGGAGGGGGGGGGGAGAAGTAAATTTGAACTCCCAGGGGGAGGAGAGCACGACGCCGCAGTCACGATGGCCACGTCAGCGAGAATCACGATTCGGCTGTGGATCCACAATTTCTTTTCTCTTGTTGATATGCATTTCTTCGAAGGGGGGGGGGTGTATTTTAGGATTTTTATTTTTTATTTATTTATAGGGTTTAAAATTGGACTTATTTCAAAACATTGTTGATAAATGAGAGTAAGGTGGTTCTTTGTAAAAAAAAAAATGTAAGTTTGTATTTTGTGTATTTTTTTTTTTTTTTTTTTTTTTTGAGATTTTGAATTTTATTGTCTAAGTCAATATTGTATTGGTAGTAGAGAAGTTTGAATCTCATTTGTTTCTAGTTTTGAACCAATGTATTAATGAGTTCATATATGTATGCAAAGGTGTGCATTTTTTAATGTTGTGTTTCTTCATGGCATAGAATTACAAGAAGAATTATATGGGATATTTTTATCTAAAATTTAGTTTAATTTATTTTTTAAAATAAGAATACATGCATGTAATTCTCACAAACCATGTATAGATGAAACTCTTAAATAAATAAAAATTCTCTTTCTCAGTGAAACATTTATTTAAAATATTTTTCTATTATTTTAAATTATTTATAAAAGTATATTCTAAATGTAAATTAATATTGTGAGATTATAATGTGGTATTGTTTTAATAGTTTGTTTTGTATACAATGTATAGTCTTGTTTTAAATAACATAAAATACATATAATTTTAAAACTAAGCAAATATATAAACTGATAATTTTCTATGAAAAGGTAAAAAATATTTAAAAGAGAAAAAATTACTTATTATTTCAAATATATTATATAATTTTTAAAAGTCAAGTGCCATAATAGGTTAATGATTTTGAATATCATGAAATAAATTCTTGTGCATTTAAAATATGTTCAACATGTATTTGAGTATACATATATATATATATATATATATATTAGTAGACATCTGATCCGTTGGACACATTTTTATGTTGGTTTTAACACAATATGCTAGTTTTTCTACAGCATACATTTTGAGTTGTAAATATTTAGTCTGCTAAAATAGCACACCTTTTTAAAGAGGCATGGGACACATTAATTAGAGCAAGTAACTTAAGAGAAAATAAATTCTAAGAATTAGGTTATGGCTTTGATTTTATTTTGATCTTATTTATTTATTTATTCTATTGATATTTATTTTTATTTTATTTACTTTTTGCAATGGTATAATTTTTTTTATAAAAATTATAGTAAAAATAAGATAATATTTTGACAAGTTTACTTAAGTTTGGATTAGAAAAAATTAAATAGGTATTCTAACATTGTAAGATGGTGAAGTTAAAATTATGTCCTTTGGAGAGATAGATAGTATAAGCATGAATATATAGATATATCTTATCTCTATTTAAAGAGTCGAGTTAGAATCTACGAGTATATATATATATATATATATATATATATACCATATTTATTATAATTGACACCAAGAAGGTAACCTTCTTATATTACAATTTTTGTGTCTAAATATATGTTTTTAAAAAATCTATTAATTTTTTTCATCACATCAATCACTTTTGCAAATGCAATGTGTACAAGGAATACCCATCTAACATGATTTTGAACTATGATAAAAACATGTTTATAAACAAAACCTACGGCTCACCATTTACAACTTTACCGAGCTAAGATGAATGCCCGGAACCAAAATATTCATCTACGTTGACGAAACCCTAATCCTTTCGAGACGGTGGCACGCTCACGCTGCTGTTGGGTCCTCGCACCGATTGTGAAGAAATTACATGGCGTCGCCTCGAATTCGCGCAATTGCACAGTAAATGTGCACTGCCGGGAAGATTCGGAGTGGAGGGTGCGCATGCTGTGGCTTCAGCGGCGTGACATTCATTCATTCGCCAGTGATTCCTCGGTTTCTTCTTGCAAGTCCACAACCCCCGGTTACTTGCTTGTTGCGATCCAGCTCACGACGTCTCTTCAGCTTTCTACCCACTTCACTTACGCTGTGAGTTTTATGCATTCGCCTTTTGGATACGCGTCAGCTCTGTTCTCGACTTCCCCCGCGCCTCTCCTCACTTGCACTGTTTGCTTGGCATCGTCTCCATCTATTGTTGGGAGTTCGCAGCCCCTCAATTCTCCGTCGCTTGTACTCGAGTACTAGTTAAGGGTTGGCAACCTCTGACCAACTCGCTTTGCAATGAATTTTCGGGTTGAAGATACTTGTGAGTGAGTTGCTCAAATTCGGACAATGGCGCCACGATTAGTTCACTTGCAGGGATTGGGTTGTAAGCCACTGTTTAGAATACCTATCCTGGAGAGGCTGCAGGGGAATCCTCTCCGGTGCAGCAGAGGCCGCTGGTTTGGGGTGTCGTTTTGTGGTTTTGCATGGAAGAGTTAGTTACGTGGAACTAGAGAATGTCCTGTTGCACTCAACCTTGAAAACATTGTACATAAAAGTTGCACGTGGTTTTAGGGTTTAGAGATGGTTTACATCGGCGTAATGGTTCTTTTGTGAGTCTCATGATTCAACGGTGATCCTTCGTCAGCCAGGTTTGCAGGCGCGAGGGCCACACCTCTTTAGAGTTTCTGCCTCGTCACCTTGTCGTTCCCCAGTGTCCTCTCAACCCAAACTTGATTTTTGTGAGCTGATAGTCTAGTAGAATCCCTGGCTTGTAGGAAGGTGCCACACTTCATTCTAGTGAGCTATGGAGCGAGCCCAAGAGCTGGAGAAATTAAAGTCAACGATGGAGGAAAAATCCACAGTTGTGGGGGATCGTGGACCTCGTCCTCACCGGTGCAACGATCGCTTGGAAGATTTTGTTCAGGTTCAATGCAGATCATGTCACGACTTCGTCTTCTACGAATAGTGTTTTTGGCATTCTTCGTTCGTGAAAATTTCGATTCTTTTCTTTTACATAGAACTTAAGAGTAGCTTTCGCCTCTAATCATTCTACACTTCCGGCATCCTTACGGCATGGTTTGAAAACTAAGGCAACTCTTTCTGGCTCGCATTGCACCGCATTGCATAACTACGATCTTGTTCAGCAATTATGAGTCTTTCACACTTCGTCTGACTTTTTTGCTTGAATGTCTCTCTGCCAGGCGTTATTTGAAGGAGATCCTAGGAAAAATCTTCCTGGGCCAGCTATATTATTTTGGAGATGCTACAAATCAAAACCAGGGTATGTCTCTAAAAACAAACCAAGAGTTTTTTTCTTTTCGAAGTTCTAGGTTGATTTTCTGTTAACATTCTGAGGCTTAATCTCTGAATCATGTGCATGTTTCTTCAACAGGGAAGAACCAACAGAACCGTTTTTCTTCCTAGAAGAAGATAAGAACGGGAAGCTTGTCCCTAAAGGGCGAAGATAGTAGTGCGGATGTTGGACCTTTTCTCTTTTCATGTTTTTCTGCCATTTTCAGAACTTGGTCGAACAACAGCTCCTTCAAGGTACGTGGGAAGAATTCCTTGGAACTTGATTTGCATTAATGTTTCCTTACGTAATCACCGTTCGCTAAAATTTGCCTCTTAAAGATGTAGATCAACCAGTTGCGTTTTCTCTGACGCATTAAGTTGTATCTAATGTAGGTCGTCAAATCCACCTTCAAAAGTTCCGCTAATTCCGTAGGAACTTCGGGATAGAGAACTTGTTGAAACTGAAGAGATTAGATCGCTATGTTGGACATATTTTTTTCATTTACTGTGGTACGATGAAAGACATGCTGCTGAAGTTTAGAACATACAATTTCGATTGTCAGTGATTATTATTTTTGTGGCCTGTAGTATTCTAGTCCAATGTAATGTGCCACGTGCAACAATTTGTTGTGGAAACTTTTTATTGAACCTTTTGAATTGTAGGAAAGCCGCTTCTCAATTTTGTTACAGTGTGTGTCTATTTTGTGCGCATTGAGACTATTGCACTCGTTCAGGCTCGCTTTTATCCATGCTCTCCACTGCGTGTTGTCTCCACACTTTGTGGTAGGATCTTTTCACGCAACACTCCCTTTTGTATGACTATCTACTTCATCAGTTTCTAGTTGTAGGGAACAGCACTAGCGTACAATACTTTGTATACAATTTTAGCAGATGCGTATCCGATAGGCCTATTTTCACCAAAATAGGGGATCGCTCCACATGATAGGCGAGTGAACACAGGTATGTGTTTTTAATAGTTGGTGTTGATTGATATAGATGAGATGGTGGTAAGAGGTTAAATGTCTCGCTCGTGTAGCTGGTAAATTAACAATATAAGGACTAGACACCTATTTTCATCAGAACCGATTCCTATCTTCGTTTCTGTTATTGAGAAGGCTTGGAATCGCAGAAGAGCGCAGCTAGGAACTACCAGCAAGAGTATCATTATATTAAGAACATGAACCCCGTGAAGTTATGCACCTGTGCGGTCTCTGCTCTGTCGAAGTCAGTGGTTGCATGATTCTGGTTAATATTTATATGTAACTATGTAAATGTTTGTCACGAATGCTTGATGATGCTGTTTATGAAGCACTTATCGCAAGTTTAGATCAGCCATTGTAGTTTACTATGCGACATGTATTTAAAAGTCCGTCAAGCTGGATTCATTTCAGTAAGATGGGTTGAGTGATATGAGGTTCTATTGGGTTGAAATTTGGAAAATGCGTTTTCTAGAGGATTTGTAGTCTTTCTTCTTACCTGCTGAAGAGAGAATCTGCCAGCAACCCCGTGAATGAATAATTGACCATGCACGTGAATGCACGCTTCACGGAGATCAATTTCCTATGGATGCGAGCGTCTAGCATATCCATCAACAGTAATAAATATGACAGGTAATAGGGGTTTTTATTCTGAAGACTTAGAAAAATTCAATCGATGATTCCAAGTGATCATAAATGATCATCTACGCAAATCGGCTGAATTTCCTATTCCACCTATTCATTATCAAGGGCTTGAAATTGAGGAAATAATAATGGTGTTAATCTGCGATCCTCCGAAGGGTATATCCTCAAGCATTTATTCGACGTTTGGTATGTACGCGCAATATTGGCTTCACGGTTACTTCATGCACTTACCGAAGAATTTCCTCAATACTGAAGATGTCTTTCGATATGAATTTTTAGTCCTTCGGCACTTTGTTTTGAAGACTGAAGCAATATTGATACCAAGAAATCTGCACGAGAGTAGTGCTTGCAATGAAATCCACATTACAGCCACGTTAGGTTCGGCAATTTCATGCTGAACATTGTTGCAGCTTTTGCTGCAAATTCTTGAAACGAAAACTTTACATCAGAATTGGTCAAACACAAAATTATCCCAGCACATACGTCATCACCAAATCAATCGGATGGACAGCTGCAAACTGCTGCACATATTTTCAACCGTCACCCTCAATTGACAAATCCCAACGCAGTAGAACCCTTGGGCCTTTCAGCACAATTCGACTTCTTACTGAAACTAGCGGAGATTGACTACACTTTCTGAGGTGTGCAAAATATTTAATTAAAAAACCATCACATTCTAACCAAAGCTTCCATACGAAACGTACTTGGCGAATTATAAGACGATAGACAGGCAACTAAAAAAATACACGTAAAACTGAACATTCATTAAAAGTTGCTAAGCCCATAACTAGACAACTGTAAATCCCCGCAAAACCTGGTTATGAAGAGACCACAGAACAGAAGTTACTCATAGGTTGAAGCTCACTAATGGACGAGATATTCAAACTCTGATAAGATACCATCGACATGAGCAAGAGAAGTCCATCCATTGGGAACACCTTATTTTGCAACTCAAAATGAAAAGAATGGGTATCAAGAAAATACATAATCCAAGTCAAGGAGTGTACATAATCCACTAAAACCATTGAAGTCAGAGTGGCCCATCCCCACCATTATTTGTACTAACTCTAACGTTTCATAAACTCCTCAAGCTCTCATGACTGTCAAAGTAAAAATGAAAAATATCTACATATTGAGAATGAATTCTAAAACCATCTGAGAAACCTGTAAAGCCTCCTACATCTAAACACCTTATTCTTTCTATTTACACATCAATACCTTATCACAATGGCACGAAACGAACCCTTTTATCCTCTCAAAATATCAGTTGATTCAATGCAGTGCTAATGCCCGTTGCCGCTTCCCAATTAATTGACATGAATGAGGTTGCACTCGAGTTGTGATGGGTCCATCCAGAGTCAGTAGCTCACCATCAACGCCGCAGCAATGATGGGCTCCAGGAGCTGGTTTTAGCCAAACTGCCCTAGCCTGTTAGCAACAATGATATGTTCATGATCATAACTTTTCTGACAGTGACCCGAAATCCAGACAGAAAGCTCGACCTATAATATCAGCATCATACTACATAAATCACTTTAGCCAACAAGATGGTGTAAAATTAGCGAGTGACAGAGGTTGCATCAAAATGGACGGCCGTCCTCACCTTACTATACTCCACAAAAGGGAGAGAAAGATGGCGCCCAAACTGCATTAATAGGAAAAAACGCATCAACTGCAAACGGCCAACGTTCCGTACTAAGAGCAAATGGACCACTCCGTCATCATGCTCTGCACGAGGAGCTAAAGATTGAGTCTTCATGCATTGGACTGTTTTGCACTCATGATTGCACATGATCACCCCCAAATATGTTCCACTACGACTCTCCCACTTATCTTCTTCATCTAAAAACCACCTTCTTGTCTTAGCCCCATACCCTTCATTGTCCAAAGAACCATCTGTAGACACATGACGAGCAGTCTGTACTGGCCTAGATACAGATTCAGGTCCCATTGCATTAAGTCCAAAGGACCGACTCCTTGTCTTGGACCTTGTGCGTGCCCATGAGGCCGGAGTTGCAGTATTGACTGTAACTGCATCCTCAGCAGGATACATTCTGCAGTAGGAATTGCATTTTTCTTTATCACTCAAACCACGTATGTAATCAGACGGCTCCATATTAGCTTCTACGATACCACCTACACTGTCACCGTTCAACCTATTTGGCATTGTAAGTCCGGGACACATAACCAAGGATCCAGTTTCCTGGGCAACGGAATCAACGCTCTTCACCACATGGTCAACATGCACTGATTCTAGGTCTGGAGGCACGGGAAGATAATGTACTTCACATTGATAATGAGATAGGCAAAGTAATCTCAGAAACCCTGCCACAAAGTAACGCAGCGGCCCACATCGGCGCTGGTATTTGGCGGATAATTCAAGCACTGCACAAAAGCCAAAAGTTCAAGAAAACGACTACTTAAGGTTCACGCTTACAAAGTGCATGATTAAAAACACCACGACGCCATGATTACTCCTAAATCCTGAATCTTCTCTGTTGCACGGATTGTACTAATCTTTCACTTAAAAAGTGATATTAAAAACGTCCGTGAAACCAGCTCACCTCCATAACAAAAACTTGATACAGGTCTAGCAGGTCCTACAGAAATAAGAGATCGCTTCATCATTTATCTTAAGTTATACACTCTTTCTAAGCAAATTTGTTTCCAGGGGCGTTGCTGTAGCTGCGCATTACAAAACTAGAACATGCACAACCCAGAAAATTTGATCTCAGATGATTGCAAACAGACGACTTAAACCAACATGATTCTGGTGATGAAATATTTTCCTTGCATACGACACTTACCATCACTCATAAAACCGTAGTAAGCCACTGTAAGACCCAAATGCACGTCATCAGTCTTATGACACTCCACTCCAATCACATCAGTCGTAATTGTGCCTCCCTGCGAAATAACCACATTCCGAAGTCAACTTCGTTCAAAACAATGATTAGGTGCTCTCCTACAACATGTCGGATCCATTTGAAGTGCAACAAGTTGGGTAAGCTTCAATGGAAAATACATGATGCGAACTGTGCTTCAAGTTGTATCATATACAAGTTTATAATCTTACTACTTTTTTAGATAGAGTTTTTAAAATGCAGGCAACACGATTTACCTTGACGATTGCAACTGCAGCAGCAGTAGGGTCGCGAATGCCAAAAACAGTCCACACAAGCGAGTTGTCAGAGCCTGCCGGAATAATGCCCAGTGGAATGGCTCTAGCAGCTTCTGCGTCATCTCTGCTTAGCAATCCATTCAGGACCTGCACATCGTGTCGTTCAGTAAATTCATTTCTGTTTCAAAAAATGAAAACAAACTTCATCCCACAAGGTGAATACTCGACTGACCAACCAATTACCTTGACTGATCACCAGGGAATCGGAACTGACACTGTTGTAAAGCAGCTTTATATTGTAATACAGCTACATCCTATCCAAACCTGGCAGTTGTTCGCCCTTAATGAACCTCATAGTATTGAAGAATACAAAGACATCTGTAAGTGAATATTATCCTGAATTCAACAATAACTCTGCATGTGGTACTCATTCAACCTAACTGGCTACACCCGTTTCGCAAACAATCACCATCTCATATTAGTTACCTAGAGGGGTCCATTGAAGTTCAATTTCATGGCATTAAAGACAAGATACACTATCTAGTTTGATATTATGAAATTGTTCAGCTCTCTTCTATCCTCGCAAGGGAGGACAGGGATGGAAGCTTCGCAGGAAAGGGATTCTATCAACTCGCACACGCGCATGATCCCACAGAAAGCGTTGACTAACTTCATGTTACTCAACTTTGCCGAAAACAACTACTTCGAATAGGTACTGGAATGGTTTTGTCTAGTATCAAAAGACACAAACTGAAATACCTCATTTAGTATACCATCACCGCCCACACAAACGATGCCTGCATTATAAGTTTGATCCATTAGTACGACAATCTGATTAACCTTCCGGAGCTCCAGTAGAACTCGCTAAAAGCCAAACACAGCAAATAAAAGTTGGTTGAGAACCAAATAAATTCTCTACAACTACCCGTGCGATTTTAGTGTAGAATGAATAATAGTACCGTCGGCACACTCCGTAAGATTAATGCTAGCTGCTAGCTCTTGGGCATGACGAGCATGTGTTGTCTCCACCACTGTAAGGGTGCACCCTGCCAACTGCCCAAAATTGGGAACCTCAGCTCTAAGCAACGAACATACTGGGTCTCCACTGACGATTAAATCATCACCCATTCCCATATGAGTATTCAATTCTTTTCACAGATGCTAGAGCAGAGCCGTGCTGAAACCACCCAAATAATGGTCAAATATGAGAGGTACAACTGACGACCACCAAGAGCTGAATCCAAACCATGAAAACCAAATTCCAGTAACAGTTGAAAGACATATTGATCCAAAATTGACACGTGAATGATATTATAGTGTCTTCGTAAGGATCTTCAAAAGCCTCCTCAGTGTAAAACACTAAAACAATCCCTCATTAACGGTAGTGCAAGAAGTCAAGTTAAAAAAGTGGACAACGCTGGTACCTCTAAGATTGGCAGCACTTTTGTCCGGAACACCTTGCTGGCCTTCCCTTTTCCGGAACGGGGATTGAGGACAACAAGCATGACAGGTCCGGGCTTGCATTTTATTGGCACTTTCATGACAACCTCCTCTTTTACAGAAGCTCCTTTCTGCTCCTTTGCAGGTAGTTTGTTGAAATTCACATGACAGTAATTGGCGAAGGCATTGACCCAATTAGCAGCTTCTTCTTGACTTGGTGCTGCAAAGTGCAAGTCATTCCGGCGTCTGCGATGCTCGCCAAGGCAACTAGGCACCCACCGTGTATGCATAAGAGGATACGAATGTATGGTAAAGCGCTCACTGCCATTGTGACATGACACCTATCAGGGCATTCCACCTTCATCTATCAATACAGCTGTTCATAAAGAAAAACACGATTTTTCCAGGCAGACGGACATAAGACGCAATATTTCAAAAGGAGAAACACTGGGCCATCTCTTCATTGTCTAACTTAATAGTCTCAAAAAGATCACCTCTACACGAAAGAAATTTGGAACAATGGAGCCACGTAACTACAAGAACCAGTCTGCACGATCACAGGCACTTTTCGCTTCAACTCGTACTCCACAATCATGGTAAAAACTGTGCGTGATTTTAAATTTTAGATTTTCATAGTAAAAAAGAAGAAGAAGAGGAAGAAGTTGGCATTAAAGAAAACCTTCGTACTAACCGCAACTATGTCATCGAGTTGAATATGACGAAGGCCCCAGTAAAAAGTCTTCGTCGTCAATCTTGCCGAAACTTCGCCAGGCGGAGCCAACCTTGACGACAGTCCTGTAATTAAAGGAGTTAAGTTACCAAGCATGGCAATCTCTCCCAAAAGGTCCGAGCCCTCATCTACTCCAACATCAATCCGTACTTCTTTGCATTTCAGAGAGCTTGAACCGTTGGTGCCTGTAGCAGGTAAATCACGTTTACCATGATTATGGAGAACGAGTTGAAAACACCCCTCTTCAAATCCTCTATAACGTGAAGTTATGACAGACTCTATCAGAAGATGTCATTTGTAATTCTAGAAGATACTCAAAATGTTCTCTACAATTATGTGTCTCAAGCATGTATGACACAGGCTACACAGAACCTTTCGTCACATATCCCACTATACAAGAGCAGCAAAAAGGATTTACCAGCTGACCCACAGGAACTCGGGGATCGACTCCCATTCTGTTTGTGTCTTCGAAAGCTCCACCCTGGAGATCGTGTAGATGTCTCCCCAAGCGCAACTGGAACTGAATGTGCTCCAAGTCCATGTCCATTGCTGTTCTCATGACTGTTCCGAGTTATATCTACCACTACCTGATTTTGATTTGATGTTCCTAAAGGATTTATTTTACGGGACAATGCACCAAGTTTCACCCAAGGAGCCCGCATTTCTGCGCATTATTGCAAAAACACAAGTATTCTGCAAAATGAACTAAGCATTGTTCTAGTTGATAAGGCCCTCTCCTATGACATGAACCCTGAACGGATGCCTTCAGTAGAGGCCATTCAATGTGTTGACCTGCAGGGCGCACAGCAAACTGATGCGGCCAAATTAATTCCACACATCTGAGGGCCACAGCAACTCCATGATATATGTCCAACCAAACTAAAGTCCCTCGTGAACTGAGTCAAAAGGCACCATTACAGTTGGGACCGCATCCGTCCTCATTTCTAGACTACATTGAATTTAGGCCAAGCCAGCAAGCCAGCCAGCATGAACAAGCATCGTCCTCAGGAGAAATTCATGTTCTTTTTCTATCTCAATAGCACTCACGAAACCCAACTTCACACTTGGCAGCACAGGGACATAAAACGAATCAAGCCAATGCCTCAAGGATCAGATGACCAAGCCTACTTCTGCCGAATCCCTATCTCGATTACATTCAAGCTAGGAGTCGAGAGGAATTTTTTGGCACTTCAACTACGAAGTCAGAACACCCCCCTGCCTTACCACAGACGCAGGAGCAACACTTAATTGCAGCAAAACGGTCATATTCACGTCTAGACAGGCGAAACTCCAATCGTGCGTAAGAATACCCTAAATCCTGAATGCAGAGAAGAAGAGCATCCTAGAACCCTAAAAACAGCAGAGCACTACAGGAGAAGGAAACACTAACTAAATGCATTTGATGGTAGAAGTGAAACCGAAGAAAATGTAGTAAAAGCAGCGGGAGAAAAAGAAAAAGAAGCAGAAGCAGCAGAACTCGACGTGCAGAAACGAATGAATCGGAGACAAACAGAGGGTACATTATGCGCAAACATGGGCGAGAAACAAGAGCGATAAGTCGGTACACAGAAATGCGCAGGAGAAACGAGCGATGTAGACTCACTTGATCGCAGCGAGTGACGAGGATGCGCAGGGAGAAGCCACCAACTGACGGGAGCAGGAGGAGAATACGGTCGGCAAGGAAGAAGACGATGCAGCGGGGAGGGGGGGGGGTTGGCGATTCCGCGGTGGCGGTGGCGATGGCGATGGGCACAGCAACGGGGCTGCAATGGCGGCAATGGGGCAGCAGCATCTTTGAGGAGTTTCAAACACCCGCCGTGATGGATGTACGATAATCATCCTCTCGTCTCATGGCATTCTTCATTCATCTTCCTAGATGTCTGTTGATTCTCCTCCCACCGTCCGCTCATTCGTTCGTGGATGTGGATGTACGAGGTCATTCTCTGGGACGCCCCGTTCATTCGTCTGCATGGATGAATGCGGAGCGATGAGAAATAAATTTGTTGAAGCGATGGGCACTAAATATTTATGGAATATGTGAGAATTGAGTTTTAGAGGGCTTTTTATTAAATAAAATAAAACAAACAGTATAAAAATAAGGAAGTTGAAATAAAATATTATTATGTATCAATTGCATGGTGAATAACACACAATGTATTTAGAGAATTGCTAGGTAGACACCCACTTCCCCTTTTATTCTCTTTATTGAGGAAGGAATTGGCTAACAATTTTTGGATGCATGAAGAGATCTAATGTTCTTTAGATTAATGCATAAACATAGATAATAATATATTTAATATACAACATGTGTGTTAATATTAGATATATTTGATACTTAATCACATTTTAAAATAAAATTATTGGTTTTTGTAAAACCACTTGCATCATAATTCATATAATTTACATATTCAAGAACGTGTATTTTTGCTAAATTGAATCATAAATTTAAATTTCATGGTAAAAATATATTGTTTAATTTTTTTTAAAAAATGCATCTATGTATTCATATGTAAACATTAACACACAATAACTTATATAAGTAAATAACAGGAAGATAAATGTGTGAGATTATTTTGTAAATGTTAATAATTCAAATTGTGAACGATTTATCATATTAAGTTGTGATTTTTGCAACTATTTAAACAAAAAGGCTCGTTTCAAGACGATCAAAAATAATAATCAAAGCTGTCATACTAAGATTACGAACAGAAAATGCTTTTAAATTTTTTTAAAATATATATTTAAAAAATAAATTATATGTGATTGTTTTTCATATGAATTGATTTATTTCAAAATATTATTATTTTTTAAAATCCATATAAAACAACATGAGAAATATTCTTGTGTTGTTGCATTAAGAATTTCCTTTATTTATAATAACACCTAAATAAATAAATACTGTATTATAATTTTTTTTGAAAATATATTTTTTATGTTAATTTATTGTTATATAATTATGTAGAGTCATGTTCAGACCTGGCATTGGAACAAATAAAATATAAATATTATAAAATAAATATCCATGTTTTTGATTATTTAGTTGCACAAGAAAAATATAAGTAAATATAAATAAATAAATAAATAAATAAATAAATGATAATATACTCTTCAAATGACTATTCTATCATAGAATAATTTTGATATAAAGATCAATTCAGGTGCAATAATACAAAGCATTTTAACTACCTTTTAACCAAGTATTGACAAGGTTCACCTTTTGTACTTCTTATCAATAAATATAAAAGGAATTGTTTGTTTAGGATTGGAATTACTTCTTTTTTTCTTTTGTTACTTGAATTTGTACACTTATAGTCTTCTAAAGTTTGACATTATATATATATATATATATATATATTCGTACCCAAGTCAATTTTTCAAAGTATTTTCATCAAGTAAAGATGAGGGAGTAGTCACATAAAAAAGTCCTACAATAAATCTTTTCAAAAATGCGCATTTTTCTTATGGCACCACAAGAAGTCTTTGTAGGCTATTTTCTATAGGCTTCTTTTACGTCTTTTGTTCTCACATAAATTTTAGTGCCTAAAAACATCAACATATATAGACATGTTTATAATTATAAAATTTTGGATATTTTATCATCTATATGCATGTGCTTAAAATTACCTCTTGTGGGAAATTAGCCCTTTGATTTGTTAAAAGGATTATATTTAAATTTTAGAAAGTAAACCAATCTCGTTTTAAATGGATTTCAGTAATAATCAATACAAGTCATTCAGTTTTATAGAATATCCTTCAAATTATTACTTATTTAAAAACATTTGATTGAATAAATATGTCAATTTCTAATTGTGTATGCAGTAATATCAAAAATATACTTGAGAAAAAATAACATTTTAATTTTAAGATTGCAAAATATTGTATACTAAAACATTGTCAGGAAGGTAGAATCATAAAAAGTCAATAATTACGTCTTATCAAAAACTATTCAGAAACTTTTGTGTTCCAAGTTAGTGGATTATTTTAGTTCAACGAACCATTTTATAACACTTCATGTAACACAGATTTTCTCACAGGTCATAATAGGAATATTAATTAGAATTTAATTTCAAAATCAAAAGTGTGTATTAAGTTTCAAATTTTAAACCAAAATTAAATAAGACATTTCATTTTGTTAAAGAAAAAACTATAAAATTTCACAGTATCGAAAACAGTAACAAATTATATATATATATATATATATATATATATATATTATCTTGAATCCGGGAAGATAAATTTCCTTTGAAACGACTAATGCATTAAATATAAGAAAAAAAAGAAAAAGACAAATGATTATTAAAACTTCTGATATCTAAGATTCGCTCTGGAAAAGCTTAAATAAAATACTATAAAAGGGCTGCAATAACCAAAATAAATCATTGATGAATGTACACAAATTAACAATTGTAAAGTTTAATGACGTAATTGAACACACATAAAAGTAACCATTATACATGAAACACACATACACCAATTTTAATTTTTTTTTAACAGTTTGGGGTGTTTACAAGCACTGAATTTCAAAACTTTTGACTTCCATGATATCACAAAAAGAAAAAGAAAAAAAAGCAGCATCATGCAGCGGGAGTAAGCAACGGAAGTCCATTTGGCAAGGAGCATAAAAAGCCGGTGTGAACGGGGCCGAATAGGCAAAAGGAAAAAGAAAAAGAAGACAAGCATCGAACAGTAGAAAGAAAAGCAACGAAACCGAAAGAGAATCGATAAAGAGAAAGAGACAGAAAAAAAAGAGACAGGAAGCGAAAAGGAGACGTATGAGCCAAGGTGCGGAAGGACACCTGGCAGCGAAGACGACAGCGGGTGGACATCTGGCGGTAACCAAGGGTACGCAGGTTGTGATCATGGGGACACCCGTGCTCTTCGGCGCCGGCGGGCCACCGTGGCCACGGGCTTGGCTTCCTCCGTCCGTCGGTCGTCGTCGTCGTCGTCGTCCCTGTGTGGCCACTAGGTCCCATTCTATCTACAATATTATCGGCATCATCCGGCGACTTCTTCTCGCACTGGGCCCTTGTTTGCCACAGCGACGTGGCCCCATTCCTCTTCACGCACCTCGAAGCGCAGTCTATTGGCCAAGTGCGTGGGCCACAGGAATGTGGACTCTGCGAGGTGGGAGCGTGCGGTGAGGAACTGACCTCAGCTGCGCTCGGTGTTGTTCAGAGGCGGTCATGAGGGAGAGGGTGGCAAGATAAAGTCAGTAATAGTGAGGGAGAAAACGTGTGTGTGTTTGGAAGTGTGAAGGGAATTATAAAGAAATGAAAGAAGAATGGAGGAGGAAAAAGGGGAGCATGTTTGAATGAAGGGGCTTGGGTACTTATCAACAGACCTCGCCGTGAGATTCCTGACATCATTGAATGAGTGTCCACGGATCATGGAAGAACTTCACACCTGGAGGCTTCCGAGTTCCTGATTTGGTGGAATTTGGGTGTCAGTGGAGATTTTGAAAGGGGGGAGGAATTACATACAGAAAGGGAAACAAGTACAAAAAATTGTAAACTAGAAGGAAGGAGTTGTGGGTGTTTCGATTTGACATTGAAGCCATGATCACGTGGATACTATTTTCCTTTATTCATTCATTTATTTATTTTTCCCTTCTTCCGATTCTTGTGCTTCTTGTGCTTAGCCTTCTTCGCCTTCTTTTCGCTGAAGTTGGAGGGAAGGAGCGAAGGCAGGGAATGAGGAGATGGCGGAGGAGGGGACGAAGGTTAGCGGGTATTAATTCTTGGGAAAGTTTTACCAGGGAGTAGTGCTGGCACTACCCTCGAGGCTTTCTTCTGCTGCAGCTTCGCTGGTCCTCTCCTTCCTGATCTGCCTGCTCGCATTTTTGTAGTTGACGATGTTGTGATTGTTGTTTCTGATGCTTTTCCGCAGTCCCCCGCACCGTACGATTCTGCCATTCACAGCCCCTCGAACACCGCCAGCATCGCATGCTGCTCTCTCTTCAGGGCCATTCCAGGCCAGACCACCTGCTCTGCCACCCCAAAAGCTCACCCAAAAGCACACTCAAACGGTTTGGACATCAGCCACTGGGCAGTTGCATCGACATTTTTCCCAGGCTCTCGTTCTCTGCCTCTCCTGCTCTCTCCTTTTCCCAACTTCCACCTCAGCTTTGTTTCCTGTGCTCTCCTCCACAGAGAAATTCAACAGCGATCCCTTGCAATCTCACCCACAATTCGATTGCGTCACCATCTGGGGCCTCTCCCCTGTATTAGCTCATCAGTTGCTTGTAGCCTCTGGGCCATACTCTCCCTCGTCATTCCCATCTTTTTCTCTGCTCTTACAATTCCTCCCTCTCCTGGCTACTGTACTCGTTGTGCTCCCCGTGATCATTGACGAAGTTTGAATACGGTTCCATCTCCCGCTATGTCACTCCTCTCCACTGATCTGGTACAAGAATGGCGCGCTTCTCTTCCCATCCATGCCTCCAACGTCGTCAGCAGCAGTATCACCAGCAGCACTGGCAACACTTCGTGGTACTTATTCTCCGCTCACTTGCCTTTCCGAAGATCTAAGTCTATTACTTGCCAATTGGCTCCATTCTGCAGGAAGTCTCAATTTGATGTCCTTATCCTTCAGAATCCCAGAGTAGCGCCCATGTATTGCTGTAACGCTTGTTCTTAACGGGGTTTAGGGTTTAGGATTATTCTCACTACCGTAATCGCTGTTGATGCAAGCCCTTAGCTCCTAAAGCGATTCGACCACTTGGTCTGCGATAGATTTCACTGGTGTTTCGGGGAGAGTACTACCGTGAGTATGCTGTAGATACTGATCACGAATCTTCATCCGATCGGCACGAAAAAGGTTCTGAGCAATTGAACTTTACTCCGGATTGGTGTGCAGCAATTTCAGACCCAACCTGAGAAGCAGGAGGTTGGGACCTTTGAAGGTGCAAAACGCCCAGAATATATCCACTGCGCAGCCTTTTTCAGGATCGCACAGTGATTGTCAAAAATCTGCGGGGGACAGGCTCAGATCGAGTGTAAGGTGTAGAAGTACCAACGGTGCACATGCTAGTCGTGTAAATATCAGTAACACCGCTATCGTAGGACCCGCTTCTGAAGACCTCCATGAAAGGGCTTCGTTTGCCCAAAGCGTTATTCCTGTTGTCGAAAAAATATTGGGGACTGATTCACACGAATCGTCTGATGAGACTGGGGAAGCATTTTCATCTATCGAAGAAGCTGTGGAGGCCATCAAAGTTGGCAAGGTACGCAAGTTCTCTTTTCGTCTTCTCAATGCGCCGATCTAGCTAGTTTCCAGTAGAAGTTGGTCACCTCAATGTTCTAGTATTCTTGGATCCTACTGATCATGAAAGGCGGCTTTAATCACCACACTGCCATTTTAGCCGGCCATATCACTTACCGCAGCAAATTATGTCCCACACGACAGAATTACTCCAATAATGTATTCCGGATTGTCGTTGGAATTCTTCAGTCTACCTGATTACACTATCAAGGATATTAGTGGGATGGAAGTAGTGGAAGTTTAATTTCGATCTTTGGAATTGAAATGAAAATAGGTGTAGAAATCATCCGTCTTTGATAAAAAATAAAAAATAAAAATCTGTTTTCTTCCAGTTTGTGCTGGTCGTGGACGATGAGAACAGAGAGAATGAAGGCGACCTCATTATGGCAGGATCACTCGTAACACCGCAAGCAATGGCATTCTTGGTGCGGCACAGCACTGGGATTGTATGTGTGTCTATGAAAGGCGAGGATTTAGACCGACTCGGTCTTCCACTGATGGTTCCTCAAGAAGAGAATGGCGAGAATATGAGGACTGCGTTCACCTGGACTGTGGTACGTTACCTCTGCTTTATCTGTGTACACATACATAAGAAACCTTTTGAGGACCGTGAAATTTTTTTCAGATCCTAATTTTTGTTTGATTAAGCATAGAAGTCTTAATCACTGCTGAAGCGGTGCATTTACGTAGGAAATTTTGCTCTTAGGGGAAGGTTACATGTGGGGCTTAGAAGTCAACACATGACTGTAAAGAAGAGTAGTTTTCAACTCAGTAACATGGATGGTGTTTTGGTTTATAGTTGTAACTTTTCTCACTGGAGGTTATGCGTGATAAGAAAGTTGCTGAACAGTGTCAGCATTAGTAATTGAGGGTGCTGGGTTGAATAGACTCAGCGGTAGCAATGAAAAGTGTCATATTCGGCTCATCGTGCTGTCTCCTTGTTTCTCGCTCTGAAGTAGGGCAATCTTCTGAATACATGTGCCACACAGTTATCTCTGAGCTACGTTGATTAGCATTGGTAGAAGCATCTGGAAAGTTTTTTCCATCGCGTTTCAATGTCATGAACGTTCTTTAGGAAATCTATTCTTGTATACCACTTTGAGAAGTAGTGGACCAGCGGAGATTTGAATCAATGTCATTCTTGGTCTTCAATTTCATGTCTACCTGGCGAATGTTGAATTATTAGTGATGGCTGAAGGATTGTCTATTTTAACATCGGTGATATCGTTTGAGCAGGATGCAAAGCATGGTACGTCAACAGGTGTGTCAGCAGCAGATAGATGCCAAACAATAAAAGCATTAGCATCACCAGATTCGATACGTGAAGACTTTGTTACACCCGGCCACATTTTTCCTATAAAATATCGGGAAGGTGAGGAAGGTTCAAAGTTATGACCCCATTAGCACAGCTACCATTTGCGTTTGCAGTCGGAATACGACTATCGCTGGACAAAGTTGGTGAAGATTGTACTTTTGTTCTATTGATTAGATTCTTACGTACTCGTACATTCACTAACTATAATCGATTTATTTATTGCTTCGTCCTATCTGAAATGCCATCCCCATTGATCGCTCTTGGTTAAATCATTGTGCATTGCAGCCAACAATTTTACGTACTGGTACTCGTATTTGGCAGCATAGCTCTGTATTACTTAATTATTTAGCGTAAATGTACTCAAGCGTACAGTGTACTTGTTGTTGGCTTACATCGTGTTTCGACATCAGGGTTCCTTGTTATTCACGAGTAGATCGAGTCAAAATAAAAATGCCAACGTATCCTAGCTTTCGTAATTTGTTTGTGCACTAAAACAGCAAAATACCGACAGCGATATTCATACAGCTGATACTTTGGTGTTTTTCCTGCAGGTGGAGTGTTGACTAGGCGGGGACATACAGAAGCAGCGCTAGATTTATCGGAACTAGCTGGGTTACCACCTGCAGGAGTCTTGTGTGAGGTTGTTAATGACGATGATGGCTCAATGGCTCGCCTCCCTTATCTGAAGAAGTTTGCAAAAGAGCACGGGATACCTTTAATATCGATTGACGCACTTGTCAAGTACTGTCCTTTATTCTCTCTCTGTTTTCTTCTATGTGCAAAACTTGAGTGTAAGCTGATACAAGTTTAAATTGTTTTGGATTCTACGTCTTTGATAGAGGTTTCGGATGTTGGAACTACTTCAGGTTGTAGATGGTTCAATGATTCACTTCTAAATAGCTGGATATCATACCGTTGGTAGAGGTGCTGTCTTTGAAACACACGCTAGTCATTCAGACTCAATGACAATAAAATCAAGCTGTATGAACTTGGCCTGTGGATGTTGATAGTTGCTGATAAAGGATTTGCTTCTGACAGATATAGAGAAGAATCCAAGAGAAAGACCTTGGTCAGACGGACGGCGCGTGCAAGGCTTCCAACCGAGTACGGGGAGTTTCAGGTGTATAGTTATGAGTCGAATGATGGGTTGGAACACGCTGCTATCGTTGAGGTAGTTACAGTCGAACCTGCTTGAGTTACAAAATTTCTTTGTTCACGATGATGCAGATGAGAGGGAAGACTTTAGAAGCGAAGGTTGATTCCAGTTTAGTATTAGTGTTAAGATTCGTTTGAGAGTAGTTCGTAGCTCTGGATCGTTAAAGTGAAGCTTTCTTTCATGTCAAATTAGGGCAGTATCGAGCACTTAGTTTTGAAGCTTTTCATGAAATTATCTCACGTCTTCCTAATTGTCATGTGATTCTGCAGGGTGACATAAGCAGTGGGCTTGACGTTTATGTCAGAATACACTCAGAATGTTTGACTGGTGACGTATTCCGCTCTACGCGTTGTGATTGCGGTAGCCAGCTGTCTGATTCTTTGTCGTTCATAAAGCAAATGGGCAGAGGTGTTGTGGTTTACATGCGAGGGCATGAAGGGCGGGGAATCGGTCTTGGGCATAAGATGAGAGCCTACAACCTGCAAGACGCCGGGGCTGACACTGTGGAGGCAAACCTTCAACTTGGACTTCCCGTTGATTCACGAGAGTATGGCATCAGTGCCCAGGTATTGGATTGCTGCACATTTCCTCGCTGCTGGTCCAGATACACTTGACAATTATTGGTTCGATTTTGTAGTAGGTTGAACACAGACATGAAACCATGGTCGAGCAACTTAGTCTCTTCCCTGATGCAGCAAGCTTAGAACTGGTGTGGCCAATGGTTGAAGCTTTGTTGATATTAGCGAGCGGTTGTGCGGATGCAGGATCCTTGAGCATAGGACACCTATGGGTTGTTCGTAGATAAAGAATTAATGAGTCATTGATTGAGTAACCCGGAATGTGTTTGATCAGATGCTGCAAGACTTGGGGATCAAGACCATTACATTGCTCAGTAACAATCCTGCTAAAGTGAAGGCTTTGAAGGAGCTGGGCATTGGGGTCCATGAGCGAAGGTCTATATTTTCCAGTGTGACGAAAGAGAACCGACGGTATCTGGAAACCAAGCGCATCAAGATGGGACATATGTATACTTCGAGGCTGCCAGCAGTAGGGACAACGGATAGTGTTGACCTGGAAGATATTCTGAGCAGCAATGACTTAGTTTGATATACGTAGCACAAAATACATGTAATTTCTTTATTTATTTTTCTTTTTATTTTTGTTCGATTAATCGAGCTTTTGTAGATTTTACCGTGTCGTAGTTCACCTCAAAAAGATCTAGGTTCATTTGAATTGAAAGATTGAATCAGAATCGGAAATCAAAGATCGAAGTCGGGCAATATTAGAATGTGCATCTTTGTTTGCGGTATGGGGTCTCACGTTCAGGGAGAAGTGTAAGTCTGGCTGATTCTGTGTCGTGTAGAGCAAACATGGTACAATTCGGATTATATGTATACCTTGTGCATTTTGACAGAGAATTAGAGAGAACGAGCACATAATCAGTTGGATCAGAATACAAAAAGTTTTGAAACGGCCAAGTTCTGAGACTAGCAATTCAAAGTAGATGAAAGGAACGGATGCCCGACACAAGCAGCACTAGAGGGAGTAATCATACGTACATTACAATGTGTGTCATTATTCAGCGACCCTGGAAATGGTTCATAAATTCATTCCATAACGTTAAAATTGCAGGGGCTGAGTAGGCCTCCATTCCACTGCTACATTCTGAGCTGAGGCTTTCCACGACAGTATGTTCATAGACACTATTCTCTCTTGCAGAGTTAAATTTCTGTGCACTTACCTGCATAAATCTTGTTTATTGGATGTGAGGTAAGTTCAGTTCTCATCAAGATTGAAACTCTAATTCTGGAATAACCATGAATCATTTCTTGATTGTGAAAGTATATGCACATTCTATTCTAGACAACAGCTACTTCGTTCCACAGACGATAAGTAGATGACGAAAAAGGACAGTATATTTCATATCAGTTGTGCAAATTAAACCATTCGTAATACTTCCTAAAATATCGTATGACGTTCCTCATGCATTTATTTTGCATTCATGTACTGTATTTAGAACTTAACAATTTGGAATTGAAGAGATAAGTCAGCCTATTTCAGTACCAGTAGTATATACATACACATAGATATATGCTTGGTTTGTTCACATGAACAAATCTGATTGAGATTCTATATACTATTTGTTGTGCTAAGTGAACCATAATCGCTTTTTCTATTTGCTTAATCATGTTGCCGAAATAAATTGTTGTAGCTCATCCAATCAAAAAGAATAATTCAGAGGCTTAGCTGTTCATCAGCCTTCCCAAGCTTGCTGGTCCTTCCCACTCGCAGCTAGCAGGGACTGTCTTCTCGTTGCTTCTCAACAAAGCTAGCCTGGTTGATCACGAAGTAATTTATTACGACTGGTGCTGAGAGAACAGTTTCTTTGCTTGCTTCGAAGCAACTAATCTGATATACATGTAGTAGGGCGGAAGACAGATAGGGTGTCTAAATGTGCAACGAAAGTACGTCTTGTAGCAATCCATACTCACACAGGGTTCTTCACATAGAGCAACTTCTCTACAAACTTCTGATTCCTGGACATTTCATAACCTATCAGGTATCTTCAATGGCCATTAAAAGAAACTTGATGTTGAAGGTTGTTAAACCAACCTCTGCAGGATCAATCGTCCGTAGATAAGGTTGAAGTCTCACAAGTCAATAGGAGAAATAACGTTGTGATCATGCAGCAATCGAACTTGGATGACCCAGAAGAAAACATTCTTCAGCTTTTGCGGTTTCAGATACTATAAAGCTACTTATGATCTTGACGTAGCTCACTTCACGAGATTTGCATGGACAGCAAGGATGTCAGTTTCATAATGTCCTACAAGTGGCATCATCTAAAGCAATCAAGAGACGTGAGGGATAACTTGCGAGAGCGAGATACGGGATCAGACATGTCGTACAATACCGGTGGGATTACTACTTACTGTATGGTCGTTCAAAGCCTTAAGCGAAAACAACGTCTCTCGCGTTTTGACAATAACTATCATCATGTTGAATCCAAAGTTTTGCTGTCACATCCTTCACTTATGTGTACAGTCGAATAAGGCTAGAGAACTAAAAGAGCTGTAGCTCATGGATCGACTCATCATTCACCTTAGCACATGAACTTAAGATATGGTCTTTAAGATGACGAAAACAGACCTAATGAGCTGCAGTGACTCCAATAAGACATAAGTTGAGAAGGTTCAGGTTTTAAAACTCATGGATTGAAATAGAATCATAAATATTGCGGAGCATTAAACACAAGGGTAACACTATTTGATGTGGAATGAAGATGTAATAACCAAAACCAGAGACTAGTCGTTTCATGAATCCCGCATCGTCCAGGCTAGTTCTGTGATCCATCACAAATACTACAGACGAGACAACCTCAGATACTCATCAAGTACTTGCAACAGAAGTCGAAGTCTTTGTTTTTTGAGGGAGAGATTGAACGAGGGGTAATGGAGAAATTCTCAAGATCGCCAGCTTCTCAAAGTGTCCTTGCATTAAAACTCCCGATCTGAACATCCTGCACACTTGACACCAGCAGAAAATTACATGCCTAAACGTCGATGAATTTATCCCAATTTGAAGGGACTTAGAACTAGATTACTACCAGCCAACGAATCCATATAATTATTTCTTAGAATTCCGAAGCACATCTCGAAATTACTGTTAAAAAGTAGAAAAATGGGTAGCCTAATCAAATATCCTCTCACCCAATATCGACACATATTTTAGGTGATCGAAGAAAGGAGTGACCGTAACCCTAAGGTGCAGGACACCGTTTCATCGTACAATTGTGTGAATTAGATCACTACCATCTTCAAGATAACATTAACGTAGTAACATGCAAGGACAAGATTACCCTGCTCCAGAAAGATGTAAATGGACTCACGAGTGGGAAGTATGGGCTTAATGACAGGACGAATCTTCAAAGCCTCCACCAATTGGAAAACCTCGTCATTGCCCGTACCAAGGAACATTCGCAACACATGGTCATTGAGCTTGCCGGCTGCCAACGTTTTCTGCACAACGCAATAAAAAACAGACAGTAGATAAACATGGTTGAAACGCCCAGCAAAGAAAAGGGAAAAAAACACAAATGGGTACAGTAACGAACCTGGAAAAGCTCGTAAACCAGGTAGTCGGGGACGGAGGAGAGGTCAGAGAAGCGGTGAATGTGAACGACGGCAGTGACAAGAGTCAAGTCAAGAAGGGACGGTGGGGGCGACATACAGAAAACGAAAGAAAGAGATCAAGAAGAGGGTGGAGGTTCGCGTATTTGATATACGACAATGATGAAAGCTGCTGATGCTGCCGTTGCCGCTGCCGCACAGCTTGTAATAACCTACAGAATATAAGCCAAAGATGAAGTGTACAGAGGAGATATTCAAGCAGGGCAAGGCAATAGCAGGATCGAGGAGGGTCGAAGCTCGTTCACAAGCGATTGCGACCAAATTGCTGGCTCCTCCGAAACAGAGGCGCAGCAACTCCGGCTCAGTGTGCGTCGTGCTCTGCTTCTGTTCTTTTCCGAGGCGTGGAAATGGGGGGGGGGGCAGGGTCCTGAGACCGTAGTTTCCATGACCATGTCGGGGAACGGTCCTCCCAGGCCTGAGACCGTAGTTTCCATGACCATGTCGGGGAACGGTCCTCCCAGGCCTGAGACCGTGCAAAAGGGAGTGTCCCGTTCACACCTGTTCGTCCTCGTTTTGCATTAGCTCTTCCCTCTGCCTTTTGTTTCTCTTCCTCTTGCTCGGCCTCTTATCGCTCTCTGTTCTCGTGCTCCTCCTCCTCCTCCTGCGTCGTTCTTGCTGCTGCGTTCTCGTTATCACCTCTTTCTTTCCCTTGGACATGCCGGCCTCATGGCGCATCACTACTATGCCGCGTGCTTGGACGACCGCACCACCGAATTTCAAAACCACTCCGACTTGCCTCCCTCTTCCCCTGCCTTCCGTCTCCGCCTCTCTCGCCTTCAAGTAGGTCGCCCCCTGTCGCCTCTCCGCGGCTTTCTCTCTGTGTTTGATTTCCTCGCTTGCTCTACCAGCGTTTTTTCTTTCTTCTTTTTTCTTAATTCTCCCTCTTTCTGTGCTGTGTATGCAGCAAGAGCTTGCTCAATTCGAGACTCGATGTGTCGAGACCCGGCAGGCCTTGGACTCAAAGACCTCCGAGGCCAATGCCATGAAGGAGCATGTCTGTCTCCTCGAAGGTCAGCTTCATCAATCGGAACAGACCATTGCTGGTGTGAAGGAGCAGCTCTGGGGTCTAGAAGAGGAAGTTGCGCAGCTCCAGGCTGATCAAGTCGCGCTTCAACTCCAGCTGGAATTGGATAGCGCCAATGTGAGAAGCGCAATTTGCCATCCGTTCAATTTGCTCATGCGCGATGTGATAGGTTTCGGTTTTTAGCAGTATGTACCACCATTTGTCTGCTCCTCTTTCGATTACCAGGGCAACGTTGCTGTCGTTCCACAGTATGTGAATCTCTCTAGAATGATGCATACGAACATTTGAGTTTATCGCCAGCTATTGTGTGCAGCACGCTCGCGACGAAGAGGAGTGGGACTTGGAGAGAGAGGAACTCAAGGCCCAAATCGCTCACCTTGAGACAGAATTGCAACTTGCTAGCTGTAGCGACAGTGAATTAGATTTTCTAATTACTCCTGCGAAGAAAGGACATTTAGACAGGGATTTGATCTCCCCTGGGACTTTGAATGGGTTATCACTGCAGAGTCTACTTGATATGGGAGAAGCTTCATTAGAGGTAGAGGAAGACATCCATGAACTAAAAATGAGGCTGGCAGAATCTGAAGCCCGTGAACGAGCTGCCTTGCATGAACTGACGTTGAAAGATCGGGAGCTCGAAGAATTGAAAACTCAAAACAAAAATCTGAAGGTACTGGTTGGAAATAAAATCATGTTGTGTCCTGTGCACATCGGGATCCTCTAAGCACGAATATTGCAACATTATAATCCAATATACTTGTGCAATATTTTCCTTGTGCTAGTAGTCAAGTATGGTTCAGCGGTCTCTCTTGATGTAATCCTCATTTGTAAAAGCTTTCGTGCTTTACAGGAAGAGGTAACGACAGAAAAAGGAAAAGCTAAAGAAGAAGCAGAGGATTTGACTCAAGAAATGGCTGAGTTGCGATATCAGTTGATGGAGATGATAGAGCAGGAGCGGGAACTGCGTGCCCAAGCTGAGCAAGCTTCAGTGCTTCGGGTTGTAGAGCTAGAGTCTCAGGTAAGTTATTTGTTAACTGCATTCTGATAACTGCGTCTTCAGGCTACTACATCATGCTGGTTGCCCTCCGGGCAGCATAGGTATGATGTAGGAAGGCTATTCCTGTGATGTTTTCGAAGTACCGCATATAAGTCAGAATTAGTTGTAGAGATTAGCCTCTATTCCCTATTCAGTTTCTTTGTCTGCAGCAGAATCCTTTCACTACGGTATTTCAGTTGTTGAATTTTTTAGCTGTGTTTTTTCTGGTGTCGATTGTACTCGTGTCTGCTAGCCTTGGTCCACCCTTTATGTTCTGCACCCGCATGAACCATTCGTTTACGGGATGAAAATCCCTTTATAACTGGGATATGAAACAGCCTCTTTTGATGGATTATTAGCAGTTCCGTCGGAATTTAGGGTTGTTTCTTGTTATCTCCCAATTTGTCGAACCACACTTACACATCATCGGCCAGCCATTTATGCCGACACTCGTAGATACACTTGGTCCATCCATTTATCATTGTGTGTTTTATGACTTCCTTGCCTCTCACAATTCACCCTGGGTGGTTGGATCTTGGATTCAGCGAATCTTGGAATATTAATAGAGAAAGCGTTTATCTCACATGTTATTAATTTCAACTTAGGAGGCCTTTCGCCAGTTATCAAGAGCAACGAATGTTTGATTCAGATTATCATTTTAAGCCATGATCCCGTCAAATTGTTTGGCCAACAGGTGAAGAATGCCCGTCAAGAGGCGGTGCGGGCGCTTGTGAGTCGTAGAGAAACTGAAATGCAATCAGATCGGTTGGCCATTGAGCTTCAACGAGTGCGGCTTGCTCTTAAGGTGAACGTTGCATTAAGTTTTTATCTTGTATTGAAGGACTCGTTCATTGAAATAGTACATTACACTTTACAAGAAATTCGGTAATCAATGCTACCTGATACTCAGATCTTGTCAAAAAGTGGATTTCAGGATACTGAAGAAGAAGTGAGAGAATTGAAAAGGAAGCTTAAGCATGCTCAAGAAGAAGCTGAGCAATGCCGAAATGATTTATCTTCAGAGACCGAAGCAAGGTTGAAATTGGGGAAACAGGTAATTTGTTCTATTTCAACATACGCCTACATTTTTTTTCTTTTCCTGCTTGCAATGCTGTTCCATTTCGAAATTCTTTCTTTTTTCTATCTAACTTTCTCCTTAGTAATGCAGCTGGAGAGTTTACAAGCAGTTCGCAATTCCTTGGTGACTGAAAATCGCGACCTGAAGAAAAGTCTGGATAAAGCCGTTGCAACTAGTTCTGAGTTAGCAGAATCCCTCAGGATGAAAGAGTCAGCATTGCACACATTAGAATCAACGATTAGGAGGAATGAAAATGAATTTGAGAGTAGTACTGAAGGTATCTCATGGCTTTTTCTCGCAGACATCGTTTTTCTTCTGTTCCGTTCTTTTTTCTTTGCTAATTCGATAGGTATCTGGATGTTTTCAAGTTAACTAGTGACGCATTATGGTGTTTTTTGTGGTGACCAGTGTTTGGTGATTTTGTTTATTTTATTACTTTGATTTTCTTATTTAAAACGTTCTATTTAGTTAATGTTTTTTTTATTACCTTTTTCTTGCTTTTAAAAAAAAATAATTTAATCTTTTTCTCCCTTCTCATGTAATTCTGTAGTGATTTAATGGGCTCTCCCTGTGCAGATTTGTCAATGGAGCATGTGAAAAGTGAAGGACGGATCTCAAGTGAACAATTGGAGAACCAAGAAGACGCTACTTCTGAAAGCTTAAGTACTCATGATCAACTTGATGCTGAAAGCTCACACATTACAGGTAAAATGCTTTTAATCTGTCCAGGAAGCCTACTCGGGTGTTGCTTATCAGTTCTCCACCACCATATGAATCGAATCACTAGAAATGCTACCCTTATTGTTCCTGCTTTTCAGTAATTTACTTCAAACCCTTATTTCTCGAATTTCCTGTAACTGACAACGATTAGTGAATGTGCAGGTGGTGCTACTTAAAATGCAGATACTTCCACCAGTTTATCAGTCGTTTGCTAGAAGTCGACCAGAACATTCACACCTTTCGACACGCCTGGTAGAAAGAACTGGATGTTCAATCTGCGGCCCTTCCTACTTTGGTGATGAAGATGCAATTACCAGAATGAACTGAAGACTCAATACAGGAAAAGCCAATTTTAGATGGTTACAAGTGTGTGGAGTAATTGGAATTTGTTGATTATTGATGAAAATCAAAATTCGATTTGGATTCCGTTTTCATCGAAACAAGCTAAAACGGAAGTAAAAGATCCAGGCAATGATTGCTGGCAGGGCATCTGGGAGGAGAAATTTAGGAGTGGAATTTATGTGTCTGTTATCGCGTGACTTTCAAAACACAAGTTGCAGCAGTGCGGGTATTACACACAATCCAGGCATCAAGTAAAATCTACATTTTGTAAAGCGGATATAGAAAGGTATTGCCTGACACATTGTCACTGTTTAATATAACGGAGAATCTGCGGTTTCAAATTGAAGATTGTATGCCTTCTGATCAGTTGTTTCTGTAACTGCTCAGTGTTCACGTAATGAGTTACCTGCCCTGAGTTACGCGACAAGAGCTTTTTATTAAACTCTGAAACTTAATGGCATTCTTTAGACCTCATCTTAGTTTACATATTCCTGTGATTCAACTGGTTGTATCCTCCTCCACACGCATTTCTGTACCATGGCGTTCTAGGATGAGTCAGATCTTTGTTCATCCGATCTTCAGCAGACCCAAAGTTCTCTGATTGTGGGTCGAGGATTCGTCTGTCTTGGAAATGTTAGTGATCAGCGTTTTGAATTGTATGAACAAAGATCATCTGTTTCTGACTTGGTTGAAGATCAGAATGTTGTGTTGATGTAGTAAGACAACAAGGAGCAGAGCACTTTTCGATGAAGTGAAAAAGTCTTTGACAAATGCTACTCGAGAAGTGTAAACTTTTTCTTGTGAAGCAACGCCTAGTATTGTACGTGTTACCTTCAGTAGAGATCTGAACTACAGCGGTTTTTTACAAACATATGTTGTCCATCCCCGCAGTTTGTTAGCCTACCCTTACACATGTTGCAGGCGTAAGTCTAGTCTGGAAAGGAAGCGGTGGGGGCAACAAGATAATTCTGATCATTTAAGTTCGGGCAACACATTATTTACGAGTGGAGAGCATAGTGAAAAGTCAATAGGTCCGAGAATAAGAAAATTCTTCTCCGTATATTTCATCAAATTGAATGACAGAACACCAGAATCTAGCGTATGAGGACCTGCACGACTTGGAACAGGATGTAAGCTCTGTGGCTCATCTGCAATCATGCCAGCGGGCCAAAGCCATGAAAAGCATAGATTCCCCTCCCAGGGATTAGTCAACAGCGAGTGGATGTAAACCAGGTGGCATCGTTTGGGTTGTCAACTATTCAACTACTTAGGACGCCCTAGCTGGGAACAGCCACAGACAGAATGATAGGCACAGTATCGAACGGTCGACCCAGGAAGTTGTGATCACCTTCGACTTGAGACAATCAGCATACCAATCTGTGCTTTGTTTGATTCCACGTACGAGATCAAATCACAGCAGGTTCATGCAGCTAAGTCTGTGCATGTGACTTGATCAGGTGGGTTTCTTCGACAACTGCACAGACCATGGAATGAAGCCAGAGGTAAATGCCACCGTAATGCGTTTCAGCAGAGCCATCCGAGACAAATTTCTAGTGAAAGTGCTGTTCTGATGGTTGTAAACACTCAGTCGTGCGGGGGAATCAGAGTATCGACTGTGGTGGGATCCCGCTCTGTGAAGAGCCACCTGGAATCCTAATTTTGGGCCCTATGTCCAAGTCCATTGAATATTCTCTTGGTGGGTGCGGTAGGTCAACATCTACATTTTCCCAAAACCACTTCCAAATTCGATCCAACGGATGAATGTTGTCTCATGGAATATCATTCATTGGGTTGAGTCTGCGCATCGTGTGGGAAAAAAAATTCTTCCTTGTATATATACTTATTTTAATTTTTACATTTCACAAGGTAAAAATATGCCACTGACTCTCTCAAACGTGGCATTCTCTCAAGTGGGATCAAGGTAAAGATGGTTCATGGCGCACTTGAGATGTTAGAAATAAACTTTGACAACACTGGGAGGTTAGTCATGCTTCTTGTATTTATTTATGTTTTTGGTATTTGTTTATATCACACATGCAAATATCACATTTAGAGGAAGCATCTTTACTTGGACTATCTTGATCACCCTTGGGTTACTCTCATTACTCAAGTTAAGGTACCAACTTCAGTTAGCTTGTTGAAGAATTTTGAACCTCTCCACACTCTTTATTTAGATAAACATTAGACAAATAAATATATATATATATATATATATACACACACACACACACACACACACACACTAGTTGAACCCATGCCATTGTCATAAAAAAATGAAGCTCTCTAGGATCCACTTGTAAAAAAAGAACCCCAATTATCCTAGTCATCCACCATAGCCCACATCTAAAACCGAATACCTGAAATTTCTCAATTCCATACTCATCCTCTCTCCCATGAATGCTAATGTGGCATAAAAAAGAATGAAAGAAAGAATGAAAAAAAAACAATGTAGAGCTTGAAAAGAAAAGCTCCTTGCAAACACCAAAACACTTTTTTTGAGGTAGAAGTAAATCATGTGTATTAAGGCCCTATGAATTGTTGCATAACTCACTTTTTGTGTCATTTTGTTTTACTTTTGATGAAAACAATGAGAGATGTAACCAATTAGAAATGATTTTTGTTTCCTCTAGTTTATTCCATTGATTTATTTCCTTAAGTTGTTTAATATTATATATATATATATATATATTCATTCTCTTTGACATCTACTACATATTTATATGTACATATATATTCATTCTCCTTGAATATCATTCTAGAGATAGTTTCTCCCTAGCTTGAAATTTTTGTAGCAATGTAGTAAAAATTTAAATCAAGCATTTAAAGTTGCAATTAATGTGAGATTAACTCCATCTCTTCTAATTTGGTGGCAATTTAAAGCCTTTGAATTTGTTTCTTTTGCTATAGAATTCCTAAATGGATACTAAATATTTGGTATAAAATTAGCTTTGTGTGACTTATTCAACTTGAATATCAACTAACATCTATTGTTTTAATATAATTTCATAATCACAAGAGTGCCAAATCCTCATCTCCAATTTATATATTTTGGTTTGTATGCTATAATGTAGCCATTGCATAAGTGATGCAATTACTTTTGACCTATTAAATTTCTCATGTAGATTTTATATTTAATATATTTTTAAATAAATAAATTTATTTATTTCTCTTCATTTTTTGTGGTAAATGCCAACCATAATAGATTGCTAGGAGGGAAATATCAAGTTGTTCTTGTCATAAATAAAACAAAATATACATATTTTTAATTTTACATTTCTATGTTTTTGTAATTAATAGAATAATTATATTCATTGTGAAGATAGATAGTGTCAAAGACTTTGGAAAATAATAATGTTACATTTATATTGAATAGTTTTACAATTATTTGTGTGAAACATTATAATCTTTGAATGATTATGGAATGAATTAGCATCAAAGAAATGTTTAGTTTGACATATAAGACTTTTAATATCACACAAATTATTTATTTTTTGCTATTATCTATTACTATAAGATTATAATGCCAAAGAATTTAAAGAAGATGTAAATATAAATACACACATGCATGCATGTGAATGTCATAAAAAAATAATACAAGAGAAAAGATAAAAACAAAACAAAACCAATTAACTAAAAGGTTAAATTATATATATATATATATATATATATATATATATATATATTTAAATTATTAAAGTAATATATTTTATACATTAATAAAGTAAAACATATCAAAGTTATACTAGTTTATTTTAAAATCTAATACAATTAATTGGTCTTACAAAAATAGAATAATCCAAAAAAATTAAAAAATTTGCTTCTAAACCTAAGCTTTAATAGTTATCTAGATATCAATAAAAAATAATAACATAAATTTAAATGTATATATATATATATTTTTAAATATTAAATAGAAATGAATCATGACCAATCTTTTCTAATATTTTACTAAATTGATCCATCTTATTATAACCATTATTAGAAAAATAAATCATTTCTAGAAACTATTATTAGAATCATGACCTTCATCTTGACATTTATCATTTTCAATCCTTGCTTCCTCCATTCCCAACCTTCATCTTAACCTCCTCTAGATTCTCTCATTTTCCATGTTTTCAACCCTCAACTACACCCCCTTGGTTCCTAATCCCTACTCTTTGCTTCCATTGCCATTACTAGCCCTCATATTGACCTCCATTATGGTTTTGAGAATCTCCCATTATTTTGAAGAAAAAGGGATTAGAAAGGAAGAAAAAGTGTATTAAAGCAAAACATGAAACAATCAAGAATGTGAGAAGAAGCATATATTAAAGGCAAGTGCAATTAGCACAACCAGATTAGTATATATTTTTATCCATTCATATCAAAAGTGATGAGATTTCAGAGAGAATTGGAAAATACATTTACATTCTTCTTATATAATAGAACATAGAAGGTTAGCTTGGAAATATATGACACAAATACTAGAGTTGAATTATAGCACAAATAATTTTTTTAACACTGAGTGACAAATTTTTACCATTTTCTAGCATTAATATTCTAATTCAACCTCCATTGGTTTTATAATTGTGCATGATAAGCATGGATGAGATTGTTTTTAAATTTTTCAAGTTGAAAATAGTTTTGAAACTTATACTAACAATCTTTATAAACTAACAAACATATAACTATATTTAAAATTTACATTGTTATAAAAAAATTATAAAACTTGCAAAACACATGTAATTAATAGAAAAGTAAAGCTCAATATGTTTTTAAATGATTTTCTTGTTTGTTTAAGCAACTAATAGTATAAACAAGATGTATAACATCATGAGGGCATACTAATGTGTAAGATACGAGTCTTTATAAATGCAAAAACTAGTATGGAGGTATTCATCATCTACAAATTGAATTCATCATCTATAAGTTGAGTAGAATAGGTCCATTTACCACTACGTCACTTATCTTCATTCTTTGCTCTAGCATACCTTCTCTTCTTTTTTGACCATTTTTTCTTCAAATTGACAACATACTCTCAAAATCACAATGGAGGTTGGTATGAAGGTTAGTAATGGTGATAGGGGTTGAAAGCAAGAGTTTAGAATGATGGTTGAGAACATGAAAAATAGAAGGATTGAGACAAAGGCTAAGAATGGAAGGAGTGGGTGCTAGGAACAAGGGGGATTGGAATGGAGACCATGATGGTTTCTAGAAATTATCTATTTTTCTAATGATGGTTACAATAAGATGGGTCGATTTAATAAAAAGTTGGGTATATTTAACCTTCTCCTTAAATTTCTGCCATAGAAACTATCTTTTCAAAAATGCAGAAAAAAAAAAAAAAACACAAAAAAATTACATAAATTTGTAAAAGTAATAATAATTGAGAATACTCGGAATGGGCTTTCCACAATCCGCAGGTTCCAACTTAGAACATGCCACGTGGAAGGGAACGTCTTCAGGGGAACGCGAAGAAGGGAACGGGGCTCCCATTCACACAGACGCAGAGAGGGAAGAGCGAGGACGGAAGCAAGCGCTGGGTCATTGCGCTGGGCCGGGCGGGGCCGGGCGGGGTCGGGCTGGGCTTCCCCAGCATTCCTTCGCTTTGTTCCGGTGCACCTTTCGCTCGGGCTGGATCGCATTGGTTTTGATTTGTTTTGTATTTTGTTTTTTTCTTCTCTCATTCATGGAATGCGTGCTGCCTGCCGCATGGTCTCCGCTTCCTTGCACTACTCGCGCTCCTCCCTCTGCTCGTCGCACAGGTTTGCCTGCCAGGTCGTGCTGCGGGCGGGCGAGCGAGCGGATCTCCATCGCCTCTGCCGCTGCCCTGTGAGTACGTAACTAAGTAAGTTAGTCACTCTCTCGGATCTTTTGCTCTCAGTTACCGTCCTTTTTCTCGCTTTCTTTCTTAATTCTACCTCTTCCTCTCTTTCTCTCAATCAATCACTCACCATCGCCTTTGTATTCCCCTCGCCGATCCATCGCATTCCTCTTGTTTCCCTGTATCCTCCTTGTAATCTGTTGTTCTTCTTCGTCTGCTGCCTCGTCTTCTTCCGACCTTCTTTGCTTGACCTCTCCTTGTCCTTTTTTCTGCGCAAATTTTCGGACAACTGGTTGTCGTCGTCGTCAGCAATCATTGGATCGCCTTGGATCTATTGGATGGCGCATGTGCCACAAGCTTAGGTTTCGTCGGGCTGCATCTCTTATTGTAGCTCACGCTTGGTCCTCCTCCAATTAGGGTTCTCATTTCGCCCTTGGAACCCTACATAGGTCTAGTTCTCGCGTGGACAGGGGTCGCTACGGTTGCGACTGAGTGGCTATGGCAGGAGACGGGAAGGACATGACCAATACAGATGGATCAGATTTTGTGCAGGAGGTCACGCCCTTTCCCTTGGCGGAAGATCTTTTACACGTCTCGAGGCAGTTGACATCGGAAACCGTTGTGCTGCAGTTAGACCTGAGCGATGCTGACAAGGAAAAAGAAATTGTAGGTAGCATCAATGAAACTCTGGGTCCAGAACATCCGTTTGAACCTTTCTTACAGGAGTCGATAATAAGTAGGACGGAAGTTGTCGAAGCACCTCAAGGCCTCGCAACGGACGGTATCGACGGCAATGGATCTACTCTGCCAGCAGAGCACGCAGCTGTGAGTGATTTAAATCCTGAAAACGCTGGCACAGGGGATGTTTCAGAAAAGAGAGTGGGTGAGAAAATTGCACTTTTTGAAGGACTCGCTGTCGTACAAGGGGATGATAGTGAGGAGTTCGGCCTAAGAAAAATAGAGAGTTTAGACAGCCAGTATGACAGTCAGAATGATCCTGGGACAATGCCTGGAGCTGAGCTTTCGGAGGCACCTCTATCTCACAACGAGCTTGCTGAGAATGGTGAAGTTGACGGGCTAACTGATAGAGCGGCACAGAGAATAGGAGAAAATGCTGTTTCTTCAGGAGAGGATATTCTGTTTGAGGGACTTACACTTGTAGATCTCTCCAGTGAAGCCCCTGCCAATGGGGCTGTCAACTTTGAATTAGGTGGCGTATCTGTGATGGAGAGATCAGCGGAAGTGACTAGAGAGTCTGTCAGAATAGACGGTAAGAATGAGAGTGTGACGGCAAGTGAAAGCTTAAATGTTACGTCCAAGGAAATTGAAGTATCTTCCGGTCCGCATACAGATGTTACTAATGAAACACGCAAAGTTGAGACATTAGGAGAGATACTTTCGAGAGATCGTGAAGAAAAAGCGTCTCGAGAAGTTGGAAAGGAGACAGGTGAAGAGATAAACAGTGGCCAAAGCAGCTCAGGCAACCATGTGCGAATTGCATCTGATCCTATGGGGAGCACGTCGGTAGGATCACAAGGCAATGGAGACACAATGCCTCGTAAAGTTCTAAAGTCTGCACCGTTGGTCAATTCGGACGGGTAAGTTGTCGTTTTAATAATCAAACTACTAATATTGTCCAGACTATCAGCCGTGCCCATGCCAGCCGTCGCAGTCAATGTTTCTATTTATAGTAAAAATATGTTCCTCTTACATGTACTGAATTATTCCTTGCCTTGGGCATCGGTCTCTCTGTAGATCATCTATGATGCACCAAGTTTCTGTGGAAATCTAAATATTGGACGACAATGCCATGAATAATGAAAATTTTGGGTACTAAAACTAGTCCTCTACCGTTCGTCTTGTGTTTACGTTTTTTTGTTTGGCCATATTGAGGATCGATAGTCTTAGTAGTCACTGGGTGCTAATCAGTCCGCATTTTTACTTTTGATATCAGTGTGAAACATCCGATAACTCTTCATCTGGGCTTGATTGTGTGGTCTTTATTGTACTGCTCAAGAAGCACTGATTTGGTACCCGTCATGTGCAGAAATGACGCTGTGAATCACAGGTCATCTACAAGTGGCACAAACATAGTTGGAGACATTCTGTATAACATTGCTGTTGGAGATGAGGAAGGGCGCTCCCGACAACGCATTCTTGCTTTTGCTGCGAAGCGGTATGCGATGTTAAGATGTTACTTTCTAATTTAGAATCTTCGGGTCTTGCTCGCTAATTCTAATGTGCATGACGTTTGCTTTACTCCATGCCACTCGTTACGCAGTTTAAGGCAGGAAAGACGTAAACTGTCCACCTTCACGCGTTTCAGTGCAAGGTTAGACAGATATCTAGGCCTCGATGTGCTCTCCTGTCATGCAAGTGTCGGCGTTTGTGTCTGAGACTTCTACATTCTTCTTCACAGGTATGCAGCTAACGTGGAGAGGAATCCCGAGGACCACGATGCTTTATATAACTGGGCACTGGTTCTTCAGGTTTGTCGTCTAGTCTCATGTACTTGCAAGTCACTTTAACAGAGCTGTTATTTCAGCTCTTGTATCTGAATTGCACGCAAGCCATTAATGAAATGTCTCAAGTTTTCAAACGAGAGTTTAACTTGTTTCTTCGAGCTTTTCATTTGAGACTTGCACTTACAACCTTATACTTTTCTTTTGCAGGAAAGTGCAGACAATGCTGGGCCAGAGGTGGGTTCTCCGGGAAAGGATGCACTGCTGGAAGAAGCATGCAAGAAATATGAAGCTGCCACTCAACTGTGTCCTACCCTTCATGAGGTGCCCTGTGGTTGACTGATGACTCGAGTTACTGCTATTTCTTTCATCCTGGTGTTGTGTGGCATGTGCCTCTGCGGCATCAGCCTTTCTGATTGCTGTTGCAGCCTCGATGTTGGTACTTGAGTGGTGAAGAATCAGGTCTTGTGTTCTGTAGTCTGAGTCTTTTTTCTCTCTTTTTTTTAATTTCTAAAAATAATTCGAGTGCGGTACCGTAACAATTTCTTGAACACCGTTATGCGCTGGTTTTAAATTAATCCTTTTTTTTTTCTTAGGCTTATTACAATTGGGCCATAGCAATATCCGATCGTGCTAAGATTAGGGGCCGCACCAAGGAAGCCGAAGACCTCTGGAAACAGGTTTGTAATTAAATCCTTTGTGCATGAATTATTATTATTTGAAGACATTCAGTAGTCCTTACGTAATTTGTATCCGCTCGTGAAGTACATAATTGGTTCTTGTGTTTTTATCATGTATTTTCAGTTGTGTCATTACTTGAGATACAGCCTAATATCTGGTTTGTTGTTTAGGCGTGTGATAGATACGACCGGGCTGTGCAATTGAACTGGAACAGTCCTCAGGTATTCCGAGAAATCCGCTGTAATATATTCCGTAACATTATTTGTTCGATGTCATAGGAAACATCCATCTCCATACTTTGATATACAAATGGCTGATGCTTCCCAGGTTTATTCAGGCTTCGTTATCATGTCTTTGACAAAGAAGAAAAGCTGCGTCTGCTAGAAGTAGACTATGATTTTCATCCTCAGTTTGTGGATCAATTGAATGTATGTTATCACTTCGTGTTTCACTAAGAAACCGGTTTTTCCTTGCAGGCATTGAATAATTGGGGACTTGCATTGCAGGTAATGATTTTCTTTAAATATCAAAGTATTGATATTCCGTCAAGGTTGTGAAGTTTATGGAGGATTAAGATTTCGTGTGGTTGCTTCCTGAATGGTTAAGATTACAGGGTCCAGCGATTCTCAGTATGATTCTTATTGTCTTTCTTAGCTGGAATTTTTTCCGTTGGTGTTCCAATGTTGAACTTTGAATTGCAGGAACTTGGAGCCATTGTTGCACTGAAGGAGAAACGTGCTATTGTCAAGAAAGCAATTAGAAAAGTATGTCAATGTGTGCCCTCCAAAAAGCAAACTACTTCTTTTGATGATGCTTGAGAGAAACATGTTTTGATGGATTCTGCATATTAATGAATATTTTTTGTTGTCCAGTTCCGTGCTGCTATTCGACTCCGATTTGACTTTCATCGTGCCGTTTACAACTTGGGAACTGTGCTGGTAAGCATGCAATGAATTCCGAAGTAATGCGCCTTCTTTGTTGATACTCTCTGAATATCTCATCTCCTGTAGAGGTCAATTTTAGTAATATTATAATCGAATGTTTCATGAAGTAACGGGATTTTTACACAAACAGCGGACATTGCTCATATTTTAAGATTTTGATTATTCTGACATTAAAGTTTTTGGTGTCAGCTATACTTCAGTGTATTAATCATGTGGTGCATTTTTCTCTGGCAGTATGGTTTGGGAGAGGATATAGCATGGTCTGGGAGAAAGCTGTCATCGAAAGAACTTTCGCCAGCTGATTTGAACAGCTTGTCTGCCATCTACATAACTGCTGCACATGCGCTGAAGCCTGACTATCCAGTAGTAGCCTAACCTATTTATTATTCATCTTTAAGTGTTTTTATCTATGTCCACTTTCAAATCAAACAGAAATGTGCTTTCTTTTAAATACTTAGCCTAATTGTTCATAATTAAGATGGTCTGCTTGATAGACTAATATAAGCGGACGTATACTTGATTAGTTTACCCAAATTTGGTTTTTTCTACTCACAGTTGAATCTTTTGATTGGGAAGTGTAGGTGTATCGAGGTGCCCTGCGGCTAGTTCGGAATTTCGTAAGAACTCTGAACTTTATTATTTTCTCATATTGAACATTTTTATGCAGTATGTATTGTTCAGTCGGTCTATAAATGAACCTCTTGTTTTCACAGTTGCCGCTGCCGTACCTTCGAGCTGGATGGTTGAGGATCCCACCTGCTGGGGACTCTTTGGCTCCGCATAGTGATTGGTTGCGATTATGGTTTGTTCTCGACCATGAAGCGCTTTACGAGGTATCTCATCAACACAAACATCTGCATACATCTTTTTGTCCGGGCATGTCAATTCTATGCCTTGGTTTGACTTTTAGATTTTGAGACCACCTATGCCTTTTTAATTTCTGAAGTTTTCCGAATAAAACATTAAATGCTGGCTGTCGAACGATGATATTCCCATTTTATAAAAAGGGTTGGCGTGATTTCTGTGTGTAGATGGAAAAAGTTGATCGGAAGTCCCTTGCACATAGCTACTCAAGACGCTCTAGCACAGTCACCTCAGAAAGCAACACTGTGAACAGTTTCGCTCCTAGACTATCTGCTTTAAGAATCGAGATGGAGGACATTTTATGTCTCGCTCCAACAGCTGATCTTAGCCTTCCGCCTGGAGGAGGATTTTGCATTGACACTGTCGCCGGTCCACAATACTTGGTTCGTTTCTTTTCCGACATCTTCTTATTATCGTGTGTGTAGTATTCTATGGTGAGTTGTGTGCTCGTTTTTACTTGGGTAATGCGATTATTGACGAGAGGGATGTTGGTGTATGCAGATAGCAGATACCTGGGAAAGCATGGATGCATGGGTGGACGCCATTCGGTTAGTGTACACAATCTATGCCCAGGGCAAAAGGGATGCCCTTGCCAACGTGCTAGTTGTCTAATTGTAGCAAGTGCAAATCTAATTAACCTAGCTGTGTAGTTATCTCTTTTCACAGAAAACTTAGAATAGCAGGTGTTAATGGCGTTGATTAGGTTGGTTATGAGAGGCACAGACAGCGCTATTTTGGTAATATGTTGGCTGTAGTTAGCATATGATGCATTGAGAAAATTCCCTTCAATAACAATCATTCATAGATCTTTGTTTTCTCTGTGGCTTCCACTTCCTCTCATGGGAAGCTGTCTTTACGCTTGACTCTAATTTTTCCTTTTCCAGCATATTATCCGATGGTACTGGGATATGGATTCTAGTGCCGCTCTTACTCTTACAGCATTTTCAAATGTCCACCCGTTAATCAACGAAATCAAAAGTGAAGCTTGTGCCAACACTAAACCAATGTTGCATACATAATGCACTTTTTATTCAACCTCTGACAAGTTTTGGCTCCTAATATTTATATATACATATATCTATCTATATATATATATATATATATATATGAAATCAAACTAGTTAATACTGAACCCACAAGCTTTGTGGATGCGATTTTAACATCTATGTTTGAATTTGGATGAAGTAATTACTCTTGTTAATCTTCTCAAAAAGTACTAAAAAAATTCAGATACACCTCATAAAAATAAACATCTACATTATGCTTATAAACATCATTATTCCCTACAAGTCTATTTGCCCTTGCAAAAAATTCTTGACAAACCCTTTACTTCCATTCAGCAAAAGTTTCCATCCAAATCCAAACATAGTTCACAAGTCTCCAATATCTAGGTGATTCAATAGCATCAATAAGGCCCAAATCTTTCAATAAAACATAATCAAATTCCACTGATTTGCTTTAGAATTAAAGGGAGGAATATTCTGAGAGAACAGGCTCAAGATCTACTTGAGAACCAAGTTCCCATACATGGGAACCCAGCCATCACCACCAGCTTCATCGGAGGAGAGAATGAACAGAATGTCATTGACTCACACCTACAAGTATTCATCCATCTTCAGAAGGGCGAGCATGAGCGAAAGGAGGAGGGGGAGTCGCTGCCAGCGTCGCCATCGGGGCAGAGGAGGCTCAGTTGCGATGCAGGCACCCCAAATGGCGGGAAAGGTGCCAACTGTGCAAAACATGTGGGCTTCCTTTGTCCAGGGTGGCGGACGAGGATGACAGGTGTGGTGTGGTGTGGGGTTTCGGGGCTACTTGTGCTTGTCCACGGTGATAGGGATCCCACGGGGGGAGGACCACCGGAGAAAGGGTCCCCGGTTAGCGGCGATGGGCTTCGATGCTGAGGTGGCTGCTGGTCCGTGTGGTTAAGGTAGTGGGAGTAGCAGAGTAGAGCCACGGCCACCAGTATGAGGAACATCATGGACGCCAAGCCTGCGATGACAAAGAACATGGTCGGCGTCTGCTGGTAGTACGCCGGAGTGAAGTCCTCGCCATCGTCCCTCCTGGTTGTGTTCCTCGGATCTTCCGCGGTCGCCGCCCAAAGGTTGTCTCTCCACAAAAACTGTCCTGGACCTAGAACATTCCTACCGCTCTTCCTCACACTGAGTCATCCTTGCTTTCTCAATTCTATTTTTGTCATATATTGGGCAAATATATATTCATTTATTTACCCATTCAACGAGGTGCACATCTTTTAGTAGATATAAAGTCATAAGAATTGAAATGATGATGAATTATGGTGTGATGATACGTTTTTTTTTGGTTTCTAAGAAATCAGAAAGAACAATTATGCGTTCTGTTTATTAAACCTGTACCTAGTTTCAGGAGCTGGAAATATTTGTATTTGTCATATTTTTATCGGATTGCATGCATGTTACAATGTATGTAAAAATGGACGTGGAAAAATAGGATTTTGAAGAGTACCCATGAATTGTGGTGGTATCCATGAGTTGTGTGCAAACAAATTAGCTTTTCTTTCCATTCTTGCACACGATTGATGAACGGTTCACTTAAAACTTCATGTTTTGGTGGTAAATGAAGTATCTTTTGCAACATACAGAGAATTTCATAAATACAATAAGAATGACAATGACAATAACAGTAATAGTGAATAAATGAATCAAAGAGCTGAAGGTCGCTCTCGTAGTTAGTCTTCAAATGTATCGATTGCATGTTTTCTACATTTGAATAGTTTGCGTGTAAGAATTCTTAATCTGCAATCTCAAACAGGAATGTGATTCCACCATTAAGATATGGAATATATATATATATATATATATATATATTAAACAAACCTAATTGTCTTCCAAGTTTCTTTTTAAATTTATATTTTGGAGTATTTAAACATAATTATAAATTTTTTTACATAAATGAAAAAATAATTAAACTGTTATTATTTTTTACTATACGTATTGTCATAAATTGTTTTATCTATTAGCATGGATTTTTAACATTACATATGAGTTTGTGTGTGAATGTTTATTTATACAATAATTAAAATAAAAATCATAAAAATCACACTATTAAATGAAAAATTCGGGCATTATTTTACAAATTTTTGAATATTAGTCAGCACAATAACATAATTAATGACAATACCAGGCGCTCGCGCAGGCCAGGTGTCTGGCCCGGCCAAGGGGGTTCACATTGACACCGAGCCGCGATATTGGGACCCCTTCCTTCCTTCATGTCATGGAGCACAGGACCAATTAGGGTTTATGCCAATAGTGTCGGACCCCGGATTTCGTTGTGAGTTTATGAGGAGTTGAGTTTGTGAGGAGGAAAAGCCTCATAGAACAGTGTCCTCGAAACCTCCCAACCCAATCAACTGGCTCCGCCATCGTAAGCCGTCGTATCGCAGCTGCCGGGCAAGTGTTTTTTACGCAGTCAGAGGTGACATATTTGACATCGTGACATATGTGTGACATATATCACATATATCACATTGCTGTATCTTGCATTTCATAAATACAAGTAATCCGATTATAAAAATGTTATTTGAGTAAATTGGTGAAAAAGAAAGAAAGAAAAAGAAACTATAAACCATAGCAAGTCTGAGTTTGGATCCTATTTACAATCCATGCTGGATGTTTACCTTGATTTTATTTCACATCTTATTTTCAGAGATAAACAAAATATTATTGCTATCCTAACTGTAAAATTATTTATATTGAGATACGTTTACAGTAACAGATGCCATTATTACTTACTTAAAATATCTTCTAAAATCTAAAGTAGAATTCGAAGAAATTCAATATTTGTAAACAGGTAGGAATTCTTTCTTGAAAATACTGATTTACAGTTGAAAATCAATATCAAGTGTGTGTAGGTGTGTGTATTTCAGGATGGAATAAGCATCGGCTTCAGGGCCAGTTACTGCCCGTACCCCCTCCCCCTCCACCACGTTCCCCCCCCCCCCGCGTTCTCGAGAATCTGTGTAACGGCCATGATTAACTCTTGTGATCTGACGGTTAAGATCCGTCGAGCCATTCGAATGAGTTGGGAGGATTTCGAGGACACAGTTCTACGAGGGGATGGAGGGAGGGAGGAGGTGGCATGAATAGATAGAACAGGTACCGTAGATTTGGGCCAAGATCGGACGGACCTGAACAAGTCTACGGAGCTGTCTGTCAGTGGAGCCACTACTTTCCCTCCTTAACGCACAATCTCTCTTTCATCTATTTCCATGTCGATTGAGTCCATGGCGCTGGATCGTCTCTGTTGTCGCACAGACTCGACACAAGCAGGTCTCTGCAATTGAATTCCACCATGTGTGTACAAACCGTAACTCAGAATTGTTCTATATTTTTGTTTACCTTCGTAATCTTCGAGTTAGCAGTGTAGGTGCCGATTGTGTGCGAGCAGGCGGCAAGCAAAATGTCGAGCATGCGGTTGCAAGCAGTGTTCCACTGCATGTCCGTTTCTGTCGCGATGCGTCCGCTAGTGCTTCCTTGCAACAGGATTTCCTCTTTGGGCTTTGTCTCTGCCTATGTTCCCCGAGCATTGTCATGCAACTTTAGGAAGTTGCAGGTCTATGACCCCTGCTATTTCCCTTCTTCTTCTTCTTCTTCTTCTTCGCCCTGTAGAATCACCACAGGTAAAGATTTGTCGTAACCTCACGCTGTGTGTGTGTGTGTATATGTTCATATACAACATCGTATAACCTCGCCATACTTCTTACTCCGTTCTTTCAACATACTTGAATTCGGATTGGAATTATTCTTTTTATTTTCAGAATTTATTGAAGATGATTCATGTTTCCCCCTATTTGTAATTCCTCTCTATGCTTTGCAGCTGTATCGTGTAGCACCTTGTCCCAGAATTCTGTGGAGATCGAATCGGGAGTAAATGGTACTGGCAAGCAGAACAACCCGGTCGATTGGAAAATCAAGATGTTGTACGATGGCGATTGCCCACTTTGTATGAGAGAGGTAATCATTATATGAGGAACCGCTCTTTGAAGTACTCGTGAATTCATAGGCCATCTGGACTTTGTTGAGCGTGACTCTTACGTTAACGAAAATCTCGTACACTGTATCAAAGTTTCTCTCGATGATTTTTGGATCTGACTGCCCCTCATCGTCATGTCTGGATCGTTGCATCTCAACAGGTTAACATGTTGAAAGAACGGAGTAAGAAGTATGGCGAGGTTATCAATTTTGTGGACATATGTGCCAGAGACTACTCTCCAGAGGAAAATAGCAACATTGACTTCGAGACGGTAAAGTGGTTGCAGTAGTGCACGGTCGTTGATAATTGGTGAAGGTTAATATGGATTCTGTGGATTGGTAAAACCCTAGAAAATTAAAGCCTGGAGGTTTTGTCTATTTTTTTGAAGTATTCTTGAATCAGCTCTGAATGTTAAACATGAATCGTAAGATAGAGAGTCGTGATCATGAAAAAGCAGACGGCTACGTGTTGATAGGATCAATCGGCATTTTAGCTCACGTCTGCAATTCATACTTGAACTTGATTGACACAGTGAACAAGGTTCCTTAGCGACAATCTTCGATCTGGCATTTCTAAAATGCTGTATCATCCTTGCGCAGATTTTTTAGTGGCACATTAATGGCTTTTATGTATTGAACTTTGTCCTCATTCGATGGTCGATGGACATGTGCAGGCAATGGGCCGCATACACGCCATACGGCGAGATGGGGAAGTCTTAACAAATATTGCGGTATGTTGCCTTACTTTTCTAATCGTTATGTATTTTTGACATCAGCCATTCCTGCTTAGTTCTGCGAATTCTGATATTATCGTTTTCGATGATGGGGTTCTGAAGGCTTTCAGAGCACTGTATGAAGAAGTTGGACTCGGATGGGTGTACGCTATAACTTACAACCAGCCGGTGCGTTTAACTCCGAGAATCTTGTTTCATGCATGTACGCAACTGTTCATTTTATGTTGAACGAGCTGGAGTTTTTCCCAGTGCCTCGACTTCTTAATTTTTCTTGTGTTCCAACATAACATCACTTACAATTCTACAACAGAATTTCGGGAATATTATTAGCTGAGATTGCATGCTTCGCTCTGACGTAGCGCTCATCTTTGTGGATTCAGTGGGCAAGCATTGCTGACAGCGTGTATGACTTCTGGGCTAAGTACCGGTTGCCTATCACAGGTAATAAATAAAAGTGAAATGTCATAAAGCTTTTGTTATATTCTCTTTCACACCACAAAACTGTACTAATGACATTCATATGTCCACTTTTAAGGCGCAAATAATGTGTGCAGAAGTCTAGATTCTAGCAGACTGGATATTTTCTAGACTTACCGATCTACTCCAGAACTTGACACCTGCTCTGTCTTCTCGCAGGCAGACCACCTTTGGCAGAAGTTCTTGAGAAGAGGCGTCAGAGTAAGGTAACCTCGAATCGCTACATTACCCCTGTGTCCAGTTTCAGCAGACAGAGTCCATGGTATTCATGTTTTCTAGTTACAGTGTCAATGTAATATGAAGTCTCAGCATTCAGTGGCTGAAATTATGTGAAGAAGCTTAAACTCGACGCTTCTTTTGTTTTCCAGGGGGATAGCGATAATAGCTGCGATGTGAACAACAGGTGTCGTGTAGATTGATTTGACGTCGAAGAGTACGGGAGAAGACATGTATGATGATGAGAGGAAGGAGTGAAGCTTGCAGATATCCTCATGTAGTTTCAAATTCTTAAATTTTTAACGTACAGTTTATGGTGTGAAAGAGAATAGACTTTACCCAATCAATTCAAAATCATTCTTAAAACTGTGGAATGCCATTTCCATGCAACTGCTAGACATTGTAACAAGTGGATTGAATACCGTAGCATATAATCATTTCGTTAAATTTACTTCTTGCAAATTGGCCTCGTCAGAAAGTCACAGTTAATAGATGTGAACAGGATATTGGTCAAGTCACATTATTTTGACATGCGGGCACAGCAGCGGCATCTATATCCCAACAATCAGTTCCGTTCATGTCAGGATATTGTTCTTCTGTTAACTTGTGTGCAGGCACCTTATGGGAAAAACGCTTCATACCTTCTACGGGCAGTACACCTGGGTCGTAGCCAGGCTCCCATAATGTTCGAAACCCAGTTCGTTTCCTAAGCACTTGGATCTGAGGTGCTTGCCCCTCTCCACATTCTGTCAAAATAACCACTAGTCTATATTTGCGCTTCTCCTCTTGTCTTTCTTCCCATTCGTCCATCTCCGAGCGGATTTGTCTCGAATTTCCCATCTGATGCAGTGCCCAAATCTCGCCTACTCGAGGATAAATTTCTAGATTATTGTTACTTTTTAATGTGTACTCCAACTTGTGAGAGAAGCAGTTTAAAGCCTTCACAACTGTACTCTCCTTCAATTCTTCAAAACTCCCACAACATGCTGAAAACTGAGAGCTCTGTGTCAAGAAGTAAATGCATTTTTTTAGTGAAGAAGTTTCCCTCAGGAATTTTGTTTAAACTGAGTGTGCACAGGTTTAGCATATTTGAGGAGACAGACAGACCTCGTGCCGTTCACTTTTCTTTGAAGGCGTGTGGAGTTGCAGCCAGTTTGCCGTTACTGAGAAGGGTCCACTTGTGCTCACTTCCTTGATCAAAATCAATGTACGTGGCATCTGATCGAATTCATCATATAGAGCCCATACCTAGCATCACCCAATGAACATTGTAGCCAGCCTTACTTAGAACCAAGCCAACGCACTTCATGTCCTGCTCCAACTATGGTTACCTTTTTCCAAGATTAAACAAAAATAGGAAAGTGACTTGCATTTCGTGATGGAGACGAAGGGACGACAACATCGATGCACCTGGTTTGGTTGGATTTGCTCCTCGGTTCGGTCGTCATCAAAGCAATAGTAATCAGAATCAGGTACATCAGTTTGACAGGATTGATCCACCTCTACTTGTGGCTGAAACTTCACCACGGGCCCAGCAACTGATGGTGAACGATCCCGAGAATTACTTCGATTCGGCCTTTCTGTAGACCTCGCTGCACGTCCCTTTGAAAAGGGACGCTTCGAACTATTAGATCTTGACACGTTTTGACACATCTTGTCCGACTGTATCTTCCCATCATTGCATGTGTTCACAGCTGTTACAATGGAAAGGTCAAGGCCTCACTAAGTCAAGTAACACTAATAGCAAGGAGCAGGAAGAAAAAGGAAAATAATCACCCTACTTGTAGTGACACACATTTCGTTGCTTTAGCTGGCATGGGACATATGCAAGATTCGATACCTGGGGTACGCCCCCTTCGACTAGGTCCTTTTCTTCCCTCGACCCCTTTCTCTGGTTTCTCTTTTTGACTCTCTTGCCGCTCGTTCACCACCTTGTGATCATCATTTCCTCCAGGTTCCAAAATTAACTCTTCCACACTATTAGAGTCACCGTCCTTGACAATTTGAATGGGCTTCCACCTCTCCATTTTTTTTCCCGCCAGCAGTGGGCCGTCTTCTGACAGAGTTTTTTTTTTTTTCTTAGCTGTTTCACTGGTGTAGCTTGTCTCCGGTTGCTCAACCACGCTCCCTGTTAAATCCTCCTGCGACTGCTTCCTGAAACTATTCACTTCGCTGGGAGGACTGATGTTGAGGTCGTCCTGAGGTGATTGAAGGTGCTCTGAATTGCTCAATGAAGTATCAAGATATTCAAAATCTCTACCAATCTTCTTTTTTTTTGAAAATGGTGTGTCCAAGTATTTCGAATCATTTGGTGAACTTGTGTTCACAACATGAGTTTCTGTCTGTTGATCTACCAGTTGACATGATCCTCTGTTTTCTGTCGGCACTTCCCAAGAGGTAACTGGAGATCTGGCTTCCGATATCCAGGCATCCCACTTTTTAGATCTATCCACCCTCATCGCCAACAACAAACAAGTTCGGTAAGTTTGGATAGGCATTCATTAGCACTGTGTAACACTTTGTGGTGCTTGAGCAGCAAGTTTAAATGAATCTTTTCCAAAATTTCTGAGAATACTTTTTGACAGTTCCTTGCTGACTTAGAATAATCACAACTCAAATAGGAGCTTCAACGTTTAGGTATGTAGAATCTCAAGATCTACCCAATTGCAAGCCATATGGAACTACACATACCTGGTTTCAGTGTTAAATGTACTGGCAGGGTTCTCGCTACGATGATACCCAGCATGGTTGATTTGTTTCCGCTGGGACCTATCCCCCGTGAGCATCAACAATAGGAAGGTCAAAAAAAGGTATGCAACCATAGACACTGGCAATTTGTAAAACTGAACAGTCATTTATACAAAGATTGGTGATCGACTTCAGAAATCCATTTAAAACATCGTTAATGTGTTTAGAACAATGAACCGAGAACGGAAGCCTCAAGTATGCAAAATCGCAAAAAATTCTTGGTCTTCTGAAATCTAATAATTCTTGCAGGATTTACAAAATCAGACACACCTGCTTTCATATTTGGTAGTATCAGCACGTATCTCGTCGGAATGATCTCCCGTCTGGTGAACTGGTTCCTGTTCGCTCTGTCGCTCGCTCTCCACCTCAACATAAGCACTTTTAACTGTTGATTTAAAAACCTCTGCATCCAATCCCTTTTTATTTCGTGCAATACTTCCTCTAAGTGTTATGATTTGTTCCTCAGAGAAAGATCCATTCTGTTTCGTAACCTTCCCTTCAACATCAGTCTTTACGTCATCGGCATCGCCGGTTTCCTTCCGCTTCCTTGACCTGATTTGCCCACTACCATCTTGTGCTTCAAATCTAGTTCTGTTGAGCTCTTCTTTCACCTTCCACGCATTTGGTTCGACCGAATCCTTTTTCTCTCGCAGGGTATTCGGTGTCAAATCTTTAGAACTGCCAGCCATATTTTTCGACTTGTGAGTGGGTATCAAGCTGTCTCCAGCAAATCTTGGACTTACCTTTTCTTTAAAAGGGTGAATTGTAAATCCACTTACGGGTTCATCTGACTGGCCTTCCACAGAACATGGTATTCTCCGGTGCAGCAATTCTTTTTCGTCATAGTGACAGTCCTCTTCTTCACTATCGCTGAGCGTGATGATTCTTTCTCGCCCTCGACTAGCAACATCACGCCTTTTCGCATCTACAAATCCAAAGCTTTTGCTTTCCACATGACCACTGGGATTTCGAGAAGTAGTTGCCTTCCAACCACTGCCACCTGAGCCCTCCATACCTAGCTTACTCGATTCTAACGAGATTACCTTCGTGTCACAGGTTGGTGCCTTTCTTAGGTTTTTGTAATCAACTGATGAAGAGGGCCTGCTTGTTGGGCAAAGGTAGTCAACATTCGTGCATCTGATTGTCGTGCAGGGTTTTGCCCATGCAATTTCTTGCTCATGTAGCGGTGCCGCGAATTTTTGTTTTGGTTGTACACCTCGGTCTAACGGTCTATCTAATACATCCACTGAAAAAGCACGCTTCAGCTGTGAAGAGCCCATTCTGTCCAAGTAATACTCGTGGCCATCGGTCATTGGAACTTCGCCTGCGTCACTTCGATGCTCAGGCGCCCTTGGTCTCTTCATTTCAGCCTGTGATTGCTCTCGCTTGCTTTCACTGAGTCCATGAAACCCAGAGAACATAGATTTCAGATGCCTAACAGATACTCCCCCATGATTTCCTACAGGGTTTGGCCTGTCGGAGGAAGGGGCGTCACGGCCATGGACAGGTACAGTCTCCTCCGTATATATATGCCTCCCTTGATTGCGTGTCTCAGAATTGTGCGGTTTCGATGATCTTTCTACACCAGGAGCTTGGGTCTGAGACACTCCGCCCTCTGGAGCAGTCAAATTCGATGGATGAGTTGGAGTACTGAGACGAGAATCCGTCTCATAGCTCACGGGGCTATTTCGAAATTCGAATTTGACGTCTAAACCATCCAATCCTCCACAGACATCCTCTCTACTTAGTCCTTGGTGTGACATACTACTCCTAACCTTCTCTGGAGCTAAGAACTGGATACCCGGTTGGTGAGCCTTGTTATTGCGCCTTGCTAATTGCTTCTGGATCCATTATGACATGCCACGCAGAATTGTGAGTGGCTGATTCTCTTTCCTTCCCCAAATAACACCTTCTATGACCTCAGGTGATATCTAGAGTGAAGTCTACGGAGAGCCCAAATTTCGCCTTCCACTTTTTCTCATAAGGAACACGCAAACTGAACAGGTTTGGCCAGTCTTTGAGCAGGAAATCAAGAGACATGATATGTCTATTGTTAATCGAAGTTTTTGATAAGTAGTGCAACATACCTGCAGTATTAGAGTTGAGTCCATTAAAACATCCATAAACTCCGATACGAGTGCCATTGTGTCGTTGTCTTTGTGAAGTATAAGAACCACCTTCGGTTCGTCATATTTCATACCAACTCTTGTATTCCAGGATAACTGCAACGGCAAGCATATTGTATCACAAACATGGACTCTCTATCCCTCTTTCTCTCTCTCTCTCGCTGTAAAAGAGGTTACTACTTGCTCCAAGGAAAGTAGATGCAGGCGAACAGACATGGAAGGCATGTACCCGCATCGCGCCACTTCGAAGCGGATTAAGCGAATACATGGAGCCGGACACATCTTCCTCCAAATGTAGGCGAGACTGGATGAGATATTCCTCGCCACTCATCTCCCACCTGGTTGCCCTTTCTTCTACATCCTGCTTATTAACTATTATTTATCATACGCAATTCCCACACACGTACTATTTGTCAGGAGACAGGAACCTTGTCTGCAGCATGTTTCATTAACACCCTGGGTTGACCATCAAGCATTTGATTCCTATATCTACTCCTCAGGAACTAGTGAGATCACAAGACTCTTATGAGATTGCTTGATGGTTCTGAGGTAATGAAGCAAAGGTGCATTGGAATCACATACCGCTGCATGACCAGGAGTGCGGTAAATCCAGTGCTGTGACATGGAAGCTGGATTTAAACCACTTGGTCCGGACAAAAATGCGGCGACCATCGTCCAGAGTGAGACGCGTACAGGTCACAGTGTACGCGTCACCAGGAACCTCGACCATGGCGGTCAGGGGAGGACAATTGGATGGACCGTAACCGGACTCGAATTAGCTGCTGCTGCGTGAAAGCGAGCGAATGGCAAGAGATAGCAGCGGAGACGTAGCATTGCAAGAAGAGAGTAGGGTTATCGCTGAGCATATCGAACCATCATTCTCAAGCACGTACCGCGAGAGGATCTTGCAGGATATGGCGAGTGGCAGGAAGGAACGAAGAGCTGCTCACATCATATTCAGTCAAGAAGGACGACGACGACGAGGGAAGAGCATCTCTCCCGCCCAAATTTAGAAAACAGCACGGAGATGCAGGGAAGGGCACGCAAGGATGGATGGCGGAGAAGTAAGTATATGCCGAAAAGCAAATGAGAGCAGCATGAGCCAACTTGACGGGAAGAGCACTGGCGTGACCGCAGCGTAAAATAGCGTAAAACTTTCACTTACTTGTCCAATTCATAGATGAGAGCGCCAGAGCGCACTCGCGATTTTCCTCCTCCTCCTCGTCATGTGCTACCACCAGAGAGCTACGATGCAAGGTTGCTTGGCCAAGCTCCAACAAGCCGGTCGAGTGCAGGCAAGGACGAGGGAGGGAGGAGAAGACGACGAGGAGGACGAGAGAGAAACGAGAGAGAAACGAGAGAGGGGGGGAACCTGGTTGATGTGGAGCATGCAAACAAACAGAGCAAAGCCGCAGCACCGGAAGAGGAGGCATCTTTCCATTCCGATTCGCTGATCCAGTCCGCCCATGCTCCCAAATTTAGCTCATTCCCCAAATGTAGCCCATGCCCGCATGGCCCCACAGTGACCCGGTTAAGCTGCCCCCCGCCTCTTGTATTCTCAACACGGGCGATGGAGAAACTACTTCTAAACTTGGCACCAATGAATCTTTCTACTAGGAATTTAATTAAAATCTTAGATTTTTTTAAATTTTTATATCTTAATAGTCTAAGAGAGAAATGAGAATGGTGAGCCAAGTAAAGACTACACTTGAGTTCAAAAAAATTCAACTAATGTAATAAGATGTAATGTAATAATGAAATGTCTTTTTGAGAGATATTTCACTTGTGATAAAATCTCAAAGTATCCCTTGATACTTCACCAAATCATCTACCTTGTAAGGTGGGTGATTTTGAAATTGAAATATCAAAAGAGAAGCAGGTGAAATATCAAAAATTGTATTATTTATCTTAATTCTATTCTATCTTTGATTCTATACTACACCATTGACTTACCATGTCTTTATACTTAGAAAAACAACAAATCCTAAATCTCTTTGATTCCATATTATACTACAACCTCATCCTTCCTCTACGCTTTAAATAATAGCAAATCATAATTTTTTTTTGATTCCATACCACAGTGCAATTTCACCATACTTGAATATTCCAAAAAAACAACAAAGCCTTCAAGACTTAGAAATGTTAACTATTTTTGCAATTGATGAAGAATTTAATAAATTATTTAAAGAATAGTACTAAGAAGTTGACAATAAGTTTCACAACAACTTATGATGGACATATCTATAATTACCCAGATAATATGAATATATAGAAGTAGATAAAAATAAGTTAATTTGATAATATCTTATAAAAAAGCTTTCTAGAAGCTTCATAGATGTGGTTTCACCTTTACACATGTCTATAGGTGACTGGTAGGTTAGAAACTTGGCCAACAAATTAGCCATGTGTTATACGTATTTGTTGCTTGTGTTACAAGTTAACAATGTGACCCACATATAAAAAACTTGTTTTGCAAGTTAAGACATGTGTCTTGCAAATTGGACACGTGATGGAGGTCCTATAGAACATTACTACATAGCTCTTAAATAGATAGTATATATATAGGAAAGAATGAAGTTTTCTTAACTTTTGTCAATTCTTTTCTTATTTTTAGTCTAGTTTCAAGAGTCTCTAATTTTCTAACCTTTAGTAATCACCATTTTAATTTTTTATTTTTAATTTGTAATCTTTCTTTGATTCATTTTTTACTTATTTAAGTATATTTTTTAAGTCTTTGTCCTTGACAAATTAACAAGAGTCTTAACTCATTGTTCTTGCTTTTTTTTTAGAAGTGACTGGATTATATCACTTCTATTATTATATTTTAAAGGTTGCAGATTATTCATATTGAATTAGTATTTACTTTTTTTATATTAATTTTTATCTTAAAGAGAGTGGATTGTCCCTCTTTATGGAAATTTTTATTTAATATTAAAAATTACAAATTACCTTCTTCTAATTTGATTTATAGATTTATTAAATTATTTGAAATGGAAAGAAAAATCATCGATGCTATATTTGGTAAAAATGGGAATAGATTTGTAACTATTTTACTTCTTCACAAACTTATCAACACTCTTAGGATAGAAATTTCATGCATTACTAATGCCAACCATAGAAGCACTATCCCTATGTTCATAAAATAAATCTAGAGTCTATACCAAAAAAATGTGGAATTGAGGGAAGCAAGAAGATAATCAAATCTAAGAAGTCTTATTTCTACAAGCACAAAAAGAGCAAAGATTAGTATGCTCGAGAATTTCATAGATAATATCTCCAAAAGATAATAAATGACCATCTATGATTTTTATATATACGAATTTAGTTTTTTTTATTATAAATATTTCTTATTTTTTGATAAAGTCTTCATCTATAAAAATAAGGTGAGGCTCTTGAATCTAATAAGGCAAAGATTTTTTAGTTTTTAAATCCTAAATACACATCTATTATAAAACAAGGTAAGGGATTTGAGGAAAAAATAGGACCTTTACTAGGTATTGCACATGATTCTAGCCACACGGTTCATATTGTAGCTGGACAAACTTGTTTTATAACACATTGTCTTTTTTAGCAACCATACTAAAGAAAGAAATAAATGAAAATTTACGTTTTGAACTAGGTATGAGTATTTTGAATATAATGTCATGCTTTTTGGACTCACAAATATACCAACCAATTTTCAACATCTTATAAATATTTTTTTTATTAATTTCTTGATGATTTTATTTTTTTATTTAAATAAAGTTCTAATCTATTTTAAGAACATAGAAAAATATGAATTTTATGTTTGTTATGTGTTACAAAAACTTAGAGATGCAAGATTATGTCCCAAGATATAGAAGTGTATATTTGACATTACTCAAGTTGACTTCTTAGGATATATCATTTTCAATGAAGATCTTATGATGGATTCCAAGAAAATCTAGATTATCATGGATAGGAAGATTTCAAGAATAATAAGAGATGTATAATACTTTTTGAACTTTGTCAATTACTATTGGATCTTTATTAAGAACTTTTCTTAAGTTGTAGCTCTATTCATATGTTTGACTTGTAAAAACAAACTTGAGTGGAGTAAAGAAGTCAAAGTATTGTTTGATGTTTTGAAGAAAGAATTTATTTTTACACTAATCTTATATTATGTTAATTTTTTCAAGACATTTTTTTATAAAAATATATGCATTAGTATTTCTCTTGGATATGATATTGTCAGAAATAGAAGAAAATGTTAAATTCCATCTAGTAGCTTTCCATTCCAAGAAATTTTTAGGATCAAAGATTAATTATAAAATCCACAATAAAGAATTTCTTCCAATTATAGATTCTTTTCAAAAATAGTATCACTATCTAGAAGATACTTCCAATGCAATCACTATATATATATATATATATATATCACAAGAACCTTGAGTACTTCATATCAATATATATTAGATTATTGTCAGACTTATTGAAGCATATGATTATTAAGAATTTATTTCAAGATCATTAATAACAAGAGATTTTTTGAAGCTCCAAATATAAAAAGCTGTGAAAAACTTTATACAATCATGTGACATTTATTGAAAGACAAAAAATCTTCATTATCAACCATTTCGACTTTTTCAACCATTGCTTATTCTAAAAAAATCTTGATCTTTTGTTTCTATTAATTTATCATAGATCTTACAAATTCAAGTTTATATGACTCTATATTTGTAATAATAGATTATTTTATCAAAATAGAATATTTTATATTATGTAAAAAAATCTATTTTAGATGAAGAAATAACTAAGCTTTTCTTTTACAACATCTATCATTTTCATGGATTGCTAAAATATATTATATCAGATAGAAAGATACAATTTATATCAAGATTTTAGAAAATCTTTTTAAAATAATAAATGTGGATATAAAACTACCTTTGGTCTTTCATATTCAAATTTATGGACAAAAAAAACAAGTGAATGAAGTTTTTAAGTAGTATTTGATATATACCTTTAATTATCATTAAAATTATTGAACAATTTTTTTATCAATGGCAAAGTTTACATATAATAATTTGGTATATTTTTCTACTTAATAAACACTTATTTTTTCCAATTATGGTTATCATCCACAACTTGATACTTTTAATTTTTTAAAAGTTGATAATATTACAACTAAAGATTAATATTTTTTTTTTATAGAATTACATACAATAATAAAAGTGTAATTAGAAGAAGTTCAAGAACAATAAAAAATCAATAAAAATGTCTATTGTAAAGAATAACTATAATTCAATATCAATGACATGATATGTCTCATGGACATATATATTTATTCTAATATTTCTCTATATATTTAAATAAAAGTAGATAAAAATAGATTTATTTTATAATATTTTCTAGAAAAGCTTCTTATAAGCTTTATAAATGCTACTTTGGCTTTATATATATTTTTAGTTAATTGATAGGTTAGAAACTTAATCAAAAAGTTAACCACATATTAATAGCTTACAAAACAAGCTAATTATGTGATGTACATGTAAAAAACTTGTCTTGCAAGTTAAGATATGTGTCTTATAAAGTCAACATGTTTTGGAGGTCTTGTAGAATATTGCCACATAACTCTTAGTTAGATAGTATATATCACGGACATACACATGTAAACCAATAATTACCTATATGATTAATTAGAAGTAAGTAAAATTAAAAAAAAGTAAGTTACTTCCATAATATTTTCTACATAAGCTTTATAGAAGCTTCATAGATATTGTTTTGATTTTATAGGTGTCTATAATTCACTTTTTTAGATTAGAAGAGTGATCAACAAGTTAGCCATGTACCACACATTTTAGTAGCTTAAAGAATAAGCTAACTATTTGGCAGATACATAGAAAACTTGCCTCGTAAGCTAAAGTATGTGTCTTACAAAATCAACACATATTAGAGATGCTATAGAACATCGCAACATAGCTCCTAGTTAGATAATATATATAGAAGCAAGAATGAAGCCCTCTTCACTCTTGTCAACTCCTTTGTTGCTTATAGTCTAGATTCAAGAGTCTCTAGTTTCCTTGTCTTTTGGGAATACCCATTCTAATTCTTTTTTATATACATACTACTTTATTTTTATTTTGACATTTTTTTTTGACACAAATTTCTTAGGTTTATGCATTCTTTTCAATTCAAGTCTTTGATAGTATATATGGGAGCAAGATTGAATCCTTCTTCACTCTTGTCAATGCCTTTTCTAGTCTTTAGTCTTATTTCAAGACTTTATAATCTTCTTGTCTTTACCAATAACAATTCTAGTTCAATATATTACTATCTTTGAATAATTTTTAAAGCTTTTTGAGTGACATAAGAATATATCAAGTTTTATTTTGTTTTGTTTTTGTTTTGTTT